TCCCTCCTCTTCTTCATCCTCCCTCCTCTTCTTCTTCATCCTCCCTTCTTCTTCTTCTTCCTCCTCCTCTTCTTCTTCTTCCTCCTCCTTCTTCTTCTTCCTCCTCCTCCCTTCATCCTCCTCCTCCTTCTTCATCCTCCCCCCCCCCCCCCCTCCTCATGCGCAGATTTTTTTATCGGTAAAAAGATCGGCCGATTTGCCCATAATTGCCGCGAAAATCGGCCGATCGGCAAAATCGGCAAAATTTTTTTTTCAACTTTACCGATAAAAAAAAAAAATCTTCCGAAATACCAAACAATTAGCCCACTAACGTTCCGAAAATTGACCGATTTTATTTTCGGCTGAAAAATCGGCTGATTTTCAACCCAACTATGGCCTGCATAAATATTCCACGGTCAACTATTGGTGGTATTATTACAAAGTTTAAGTAACTAGGAACAACAGCAACACAGCCACAAAGTTGTAGGCCAAGTAAAACGACAGAGTGGGGTCAGCGCATGTTGAAGCTCATGGTGTGCAGAAGTCACCAACTGTCTGCAGAGTCAATAGCTAAAGACCTCCAAACTTCATGTGGCCTTCAGATTAGCACAACAACAGTGCATAGAGAGCTTCATGGAATGGTTTTCCATGGCCGAGCAGCTGCATCCAAACCTTACATCACCAAGTGCATTGCAAAGCATCGGATGCAGTGGTGTAAAGCAAGCTGCCACTGGACTCTAGAGCATTGGAGATGTGTTCTCTGGATTGACAAATCATGCTTCTCTGTCTGGCAATCTGATGGACCGTTCTGGGTTTGTTGATTGCCAGGAGAATGGTACCTGACTGCATGTGCCAAGTGTAACGTTTGGTGGACGGGGGATTATGATGTGGGGTTGTTTTTCAGCGGTTGGGCTTGGCCTCTTAGTTCCAGTGAAGGGAACTCTTAAGGTGTCAGCATACCAAACATTTTGGACAATTTCATGCTCCCAACTTTGCGGGAAGAGTTTGGGGATGCCCCTCCTGTTCCAGCCTGACTGTGCACCAGTGCACAAAGCAAGGTCCATAAAGACATGGATGAGCAAGCTTGGGGTGGAGGAACTTGACTGGCCTGCACAAAGTCCTGACCTTAACCCTATTCGAACACCTTCGGGATGAATTAGAATGGAGACTGAGAGCCAGGCTGACATCGGGGCCTGACCTCACAAATGTGCTTCTTTAAGAGTGGTAAACATTCCCATTGACACACTCCTAAACCTTGTGGACAGCCTTCCCAGAAGAGTTGAAGCTGTTATAGCTGCAAAGGGTGGGCCACCTCAATATTGAACCCTACAGACTAAGACTGGGATGCCTTTAAAGTTTATGTGCATGTAAAAGCAGGCGTCCCAATACTTTAGGCAATACAGTGGTACCTCGGTTTACAAATGCCTAGGTTAATGTAATTTTTGGTTTACGAATGAAAATTTAATGAAAATAATGCCCCGGTTTACACATTTTTTACTTCTTTTTTTCGCAATACGAAGTGTGTGTCGGTGCTGATTTTTAAATGCAATTGCCGGCTTTTTTTTTATTTTCTTTACTATAGCTCACAAGATTAGCTGTCACTTTCCCCAGAGTTACAGGAAACCTTTTCTTTAAGAAACTAAAAGGAAACATTGTCTTTTAACTTTGGGAAATAAACTAAAAGAAAACTTTCTCTCTTTTAGCTGGGGGTGACAGCTGAGCTATAGCAAAGAAAAAAAAAAGCTGTAATTGCATTTAAAAAACAGCACCGTAATAAATTAAAAAAACAACGTAGGGTCCCCCTTCCAATCCATACCAAGCCGTTCGAGTCTGGTATGGATTTTGAGGGAACTCCCACGCCAAAATTAAAAAAAAAATGGCGTGGGGGTCCCCCTCAAAATCAAAGGGTCAGATAAGGGTCTGGCATCCCCCCCAATCCGAGCATGGAGCCCGTAAGGAAAGGAGGGGGGAATGAGTGACTGCCCCCCTGCCCCCCCCCCCCCCCCCAAACCATACTAGGCCACATGCTCTCAAAAGAAAAAACTAAAAAATGTCCCCCCGCAGTAGATCCAACGGCAATCACGATGTCCGCCTCCGACCTGAAAAAATGTTCCGTTCCCGATGATGGCTGCCCTCTGCCTCTGAGCTTGTTTGACAGTTCTTAAATCTTTTCATTGCTCGAAGTTCTTTTACATTCAGTTGTCAGTGGGGTACCCTGCTGACAGCTGAAACATTAACTCATGGTTGTCACTACTAAAATACTGCATGACTTAATAAAATAACTCAGGCAGTATTTTAGTAGCGTTTACTTTTTTTCTGACCTCCAGAACGGATTAATTGGTTTTCAATGCATTCCTATGGGAAATGGTGTTTTGGTTTATGAATTTTTCACTATATGAAAAGTCCTGCAGAATGAATTAAATTCGTAAACTAAGGTATTACTGTACAGTTTATCTGCATTGTATGTAGTATATTGAGTATTGTCATGAAATCTGATTGTGATATCTTTGCTTGTCCAGGTGTCCTGAGTTTTAATTAAACTGATACGAAACACACACTGTTTAATTTACATTATCCCTTTTCTTTCTGTACATGTATGATGGCACTGTAATTAATAAAAAAAGAAACTTTTTTTCCTAATTGATACACCTGTCCCTTGACCCAGCCCTTTCCCAGTCTGTTTGCAAGGAAACATAAGCAGGAGGAGCTTCTAGTCATCTGCTGCTGGTCACATGTCCAAATTAAAAAAAAAATGCATTTGGGATACAGAGTAAAATAAATAATATCAATAAACTGTTTTAACTCCTCAACCATTTAAATCTTTATTATTTTTTTTTGGCAATAACATGGTGTGGGTGGATATCTGTCAGTCGCAGGCTAGTGTCATGCCCCTCCAGCCTGTGTTTTAGAATAACAGGGAGGTGAAGCCTCCGTCAATCAAGATGTAATATCCCACCCCCATTGTGTTTAGCTGGTTAGTGGGCATGGGAGAAGAGGGAGGGAGTGGGCTGTCGTTTACCATTTGGCATACACCCACATGTGTGACTGTAGTCACATTGGCTGCTCAGATGTGATAGGGAGGAAATGCACAACATAGAAACTCATTAAAATTGAGCATGTGCTGTAACTGCTAACACTGCTCTACAAAATACCCAACTGCATTGGGGACATAAAACAGAAAAAGGAGATAGAGAACAGCTGGATCAGCCAGATCAGATTTTTGCAGAATACAAAAAATGAATCCCATATAAGAGTATGAACAGCATGTAATACAACATTTATTGATCATTTTTAATGATATGGTTTTAATGACACTTCAGTATCACAGAAAGGACCATGTTATTGTCCATGTACATATCAGTACAGACTAGTTTGGACAAGTTTGCTTTTTTGCTGTGATGGAGGCATAGTGTCATGGGGATCCCAGCTTTTTTCAAATCACTTTCAAAAGTTTTTGCACACATTATAATCAATATGAGACCATCCTAGACCATTAGTGCTTAAAGCATAACTAAAGGAAAAACATTAGTTTTTTTTTTTTTTGTTTTAATAAAGTAGAGCGGGATTAGAATGCTTGTCAGTTTTTATTGCTGTCTGTGCCCCCATTAACCACCTTCCACCCGCCATATAGTACAATGATGGGTGCAAGGTGGTTCTCTCGTTCTGATAGGACGTCATATGACGTCCTTCCATTCTCACCGCGCATGCGCGGCTCAGGGAGCGCGTAGCTCACGGAAAGAGCTGAAGATGTCGGCTCGGTCATGTGATCAGCTGTGTCCAATCACAGCTGATCACATGTAAACACGGAAATGCGGGTTATCGGCATTTCTCTCCTCTCGAGCTGTCGCGCTGACAGCTCGAGAGGAGAGCCGGTAATCTGCTTTCCGCGGAGGGGACATGTACACTGAGCATCAGGGCACTGATGATCAGTGTGGCCCCAGAAGTGCCACCTGTCAGTGTCCATCGGTGCCAGCAGTCAGTGCTCATCAGTGCCACGTGCCAGTGCCACATCAATGCCACATATCAGTGCCCATCTGAGCTGCCTTTCAGTGTCACCCATCAGTGCCAGTCAGTGCCACCTATCAATGCCTATCAGTGCCAGTCAGTGGCGCCTATCAGTGCCATGTATCAGTACTGCCTTTCAGTGCCCATCAGTGATGCCTGTCAATGCCCATCAGTGCCACCTACCAGTGCCTCCTCATCAGTGCCTATCAGTGCCCATCACTGCAGCCTCATTAGTGTACATCAGTGAAGGAGAAAAATCACTTATTTACAAAATTGTATAACAAAAACTAAGAAAAAACATTTTTTTTTTTCAAAATTTTCAGTGGTTTTTGGTTTGTTTAAGAAAAAATAAAAATCCCAGAGGTGATTAAATAACACCAAAAGAAAGCACTATCTGTCTCAAAAAAATGATAAAAATTTCATATGAGTACAGTGTTGCATGACCGCACAATTGTCATTCAAAGTGTGACAGCGCTGAAAGCTGGAAATTGGCCTGGGCAGGAAGGGGGTATAAGTGCCCTGTAGGCAAGTGGTTAAGGTGATTTGCCCTTTTTTAGTTCTGTTTACCATTATCATTGAAAGTGAATGCAAATGAAAATCCCAAATTTTGGGTTGTCCCCAAACAAGTAATGTAGAGGAAACCTTCCAATGGGGACACCGGTTTTTGTGACCTGGGGGTCCCCAAGGAATTCCCTTAATTTTCAGGGATTTCCTCTCACTTCCTGTTTTGGCTATTGCACAAAAAGTAGGGAAATCTCTGCAGTGGGACACTGATGGCAAAAAAAATCCAAAATAGAAAAAAAAAACTATAGTCCTACTTTAAGAGAATATAATTTGATAATCCTTATTGTCTACAACCCTACATTTTATTTGTTTACTGCTTATATAAACTGAATAGAAATTAGATTTTTTTTTTTTGCTAAATTTCTAGAACCTTGTCATTCCCAGCAAAATATTATGGTCTATGTTATTACCAGTACATCCAATCTGTGTTGTTTTTTTGTTTTTTAAATCTTAGTGAACGTGAAGTGGGGAAAGGAGAAGTTTGATAATGTGGAGTTGAACACCGATGAGCCACCAATGGTTTTTAAGGCCCAGCTGTTTGCCTTGACTGGAGTTCAGCCAGACAGACAAAAAGTCATGGTTAAGGGAGGAACTTTAAAGGTATGAAATGTTAAATAATGTGTTAATCATGCTCTGTATCTGGTACAGTCACTTTTGGGGTCTGTAGAGGTTATTGGACATCCAGATCATTTCTACAGAAAAAAGCAGGGCACATCTTTGAGAGTCAGTCTCTTTCTTTTGACGCGATTTCCGCTTTGAAAGTGCAAACTGTCCATGTATTTTAGTGCTTTAGCCCCCTTAAAATCTGATACTTTTTTATGGGGGAATGCTCCCTTTCTCCTACAATTTCATATCTGGTGCCTGAGGTCTCAGCAGACCCCAGGTCTGCTTGCTGTCAATTGTAATAGGAAGTTTCTGTGTGTGGGGATAAGCACATATGTAGCTTTGTGTGGGCTTCAACTTTCTGAAAGTGGAAACTTGTAGTACCTATTACTGACTTGATGTGTGGTGATGATGAAATGTGTGATATCAGAAAAATAAACTTTTATTTTTTTCTTGCTGTTACATAGGATGATGACTGGGGAAACCTCAAAATAAAAAATGTAAGTACGTAATCCTTTTATTCCATTTAATATATCCTATGCTCAGCATAAACCATCAGCAGGCACATATTTGGTGCCAAGGTCTGTACTGATTACAGTCTGAGTGATTTTTGTATAACTTTAAAACCGTTTGACTTGTGTACGCAATCTTAATAGTCTAGGTTCAAATATGATTGCTAACAAACAATGAGAATGGAAGATAGTGGTCAAAATGATTTCCCAACTCGTGCATGGGAGATTGTTGAGCGTACAGAACAGTTACAATTTAGAAGCCATCTACTGCCAGAGACAAATCACCCTAAAATTTTAACTGGATGGCATAATCCATGCAAACTGTGTGTTTTTTAAAATGTTTCATTTATATCCAATCATATCTGTAGTGTGAAGATGTCAATAGACGAATTGTGTGAATAGTTGGTCTGTATGTCACTTAATACAAATTGGGCATGTACCATCCAAAACTTGTTGCTATATATTAATTGCTCTGACTACCAGTGAAATCTATTTTTCCTTTGACATGTTCATATAAAAAGACTGCAAGTGTTTGGCTCTGAAGCAAGCAAACACATGACTGCTAACCCGTAACATGTGAAGTTATGTTTTAAAAGGATCATATTGGCTCTGGAGGTACGCCTATCGTAAAAGTAAGCACATGAAAGCAATGCAGCTGCTCTAATCTGCATGATTTAGGCAGTATCGCAGGCTGGCCCATCCATACCACTCTTACACCTTCCTTTTGGCCAGTGAGGCAGCTATTAATCATGAATGGCCTGTAGGAAGATAGGAGGATGTGCACTTGCTTTTAAACAATACCAGAAATGGTTAGAGCTTGCAGATTAGAGGGTCCAGGTTTCAGGGCACTGTGACACTTCTAAGGGTGCACATAAACCAGTATAGCAAGGTTGTTTGTTTTGGTTTTTTTTTTTTTTAGTTTTTTTGCCACAGGAACTTCATGTAGTAGTGATCTTGCCTAGACGTTATTGTGCAGATGGGCTGTGAGCTGTTGTTTTTTAAAGTGAACTTTTCCTTTACCCAGCTTTGGGGGGTCCTGAAAGGCTATAGTTAACTTCTACCCTCACCAGCAAGCATATGCTTCCCTTTCCTCTTGGATGCATTGCTTCAGTTGGCTTCTGGAAGCAATGTGCATTATCATGGGTGAGATGTGGCTTACCTACTTCTGACAGTGCTGGTTTCTGTTGATTGGCCCAATAGAATCACCTGGGGCGAGGAAGGAGTCCATAGCTCTGTGCAAGCTGATTGGAGTGACCACAAAGCAAGGAAAGGTATATGCTGGAGCGGTTGGTTAAGTGACCTATATATTTTTTTTTTTTTTTCCTTTTAGCCTGGCAAGGAAAAGGGTCACTTAAAAACCTATCTCCATGTTTTATTGAACCTGAGATTGTTCCATTTGGTCCAAGCTGGCCCAAATGAACTATTTCCCTCATCAACCTATGCAGCCGCTGTCAGCTCTGTATGAACTGTACGTAGTATCAGCTACATACTGTATATAGAACTGTGTTCCGGCAGCAGTATGGGGCATTCCTGTCCTCTCCTGGGACAAAATAGTCAGGCTGAGCACTGCTCAGCCATTTATAGGAAGCTTTGTATTTTATGAATGAATATAAGGCTTCCTCTAATTAATTGAGGCTCATGACTTCATCCGCCAGCATGTCTACCTCTGCCAATCAGACAAAGTCATGTATTCATTCAGAAAATACAAAGCTTCCTGTGAATGGCAGTAGGATGGAAAGTCTTTCCAGAACACATAGCTGTGCACAGTATTTAGCTGAGGCTACATACAGCACTAACAGCCACTTCATGTGTTAATGAAGTAAATAGTTAATTTGGACCAGCTCGGTCCAAACTATTTAAAGTTCACCAAAACGTGGAGTTAAGGTGTGTGTGTGATTATGCTTCAGATGTTTGTATAACCTAAATGGTTCCATTTTGTCCGGATCTTCACAAGTAGTATATAGATCTGTTTGCAGTGGTCTCACCTTTTCTTCATTTACTTCCAGGGAATGAGCTTGTTAATGGTTGGGTCAGCTGAGGCTCTTCCTGAGGAGCCAGCAGTGAGACCTATCTTTGTAGAGGATATGACGGAGGAGCAACTGGCCTCAGCTGTAAGTTTGTTTTTGGGATTTGTTTTTTTTTTTTTTTTTTTTTATGTATAACCTTTGTTTATAATTTTAATACATTTTGTAATATTTGATGTTTAGAAAGTATATTTTTTAACCGGTATGTAGTTTCTAACCATACAGTATAAGAGGTATCTTGCATAAAATTGTTATAAAGGCTAAAATAACAAACATGCTATACTTGCCAGCTGTGTGCAATGGTTTTGCACAGAGAGGCCCCAAACTGCCTCTTTGGGGTTCCCCCGCCAGTGCTCTTGGCTCCTCTACGCTGTGTGCCACCATAGGAAGCCACTTCCTGGGGGGCGCATGTGCAGGCTTGCTCTCAAGCTGGCTGGTGTACTTTTCACAGTATTTGATAGCAGCAGGTGCCAATGGCTGCCGCTGTTGCCTCTCTTGCCTCTCTGCCTTGTTAATGGTGGAAGAGAGGAGAGAACTGCTGCAGATGGACGTAGCACTAGATCAAGTAAGTATTTAGGAGGGGAGGGGGTTGTGGGGGGAAATACAAATATTGGGACATTTTTTACCCTAATACAGGAAATCCATTAAGATAAAAAAAAGTCATGCTTTTAAAACCACTTTAACCATATCCTTACCGCGCTAAAGCCGAATAACGGCTACAGTGTAGTTGTCCAGTTCTGGGAGGGCGTCATATGACGTCCTGCCAGAATGCGCCCCCTGTGGCACGCAACCGGCGGTCTCCGTGATCGCTGTGTTCTACGGACAGGGCTGATCCCATGATAAAGTAAAAGGCCAATCACAATGGCCTTTTACCACGTGATCAGCTGTGTCCAATGACACAGCAGATCACTGAGTAAAAACGCTGTCACAGCGTGCGGAAAGTACTGCCGATAACCGGTAGCTGTCACAGAGCAGATCAGCACTGACCATCAGGGCACGGATGATCAGTGCCCAGCAGTGACACCCATCAGTGCTGCCTATCAGTGCCCATCATTGCTGCATATCAATGCAGCATCATCAGTGTCTCCGCATCAGTGCTTCCTATTATTATTATACAGTATTTATAAAGCGCCAACAATTCGCTCAGCGCTGTACATTACAATGGGAGACAGAACATGCGACAGTACAATAACAATACAATGAGATACACGAGGGGTTCGAGGGCCCTGCTCCTTGGAGCTTACAATCTAGGATATGTGCCCACCTCATCAGTGCAGCCTCATCAACGCACATCATTGAAGGAGAAAAATGACCGGTTTGCAAAATTTTATAATAGAAACAAGAAAAACTTTTTTTTTTTTTTTTTTTTTTTTTTGCTCTTTTTTTGTTTATAGTGCAAAAAATAAAACACCCAGTGGCGATTAAATACCACCGAAAGAAAGCTCTATTTGTGTGAAAAAAAAAAATGTATAAAAATTTCACATGGTTACAGTGTTACATTCCGCGCAATGGTCATTCAAAGTGCAACAGCGCTGAAAGCTGAAAATTGGCCTGGGCAGGAAGGGGGTAAAAGTGCCCGGTATGCAAGTGGTTACTGACAAACCTATGCAACAGCCTTCCAAATAGTGTTCAATTGTTTCATCGGGACCCTTTGTTACCAGGTGCATAAAATCAACCACTCTGTTGGATACAGGAATAATCGCAGTGTTAAACCGAGAAGTAGACTGGTGGTAGTAGTTGCGTTGCAATCCTCTGCTTTTAATACTGTTACAAAAATACATCAAGTATGTAAAATGAGAAAGTCGCTACTAAAAATCACTTTAAGGTAAACACTCAGATGGCTGTGTTTACAAACTCACTGAAAATGCACAGTACAATCCTTTTTACTAACTGTTAGGCTGTGTTTCAGGCACTCCAAAGTATCTTGTCGGGTCATTATTCCCCCGTGCCACAATGCCCTGAAGTGCTTTTCCAGTTTTGACTTTTTCGAAGGCAATACTTGTGGAGGGCTAAGAGAGCTTCTCTTGCTCTTGGGTTTTGCTATTGTCCACTCACATGTTGAGTGTTGACATCTGGAAAACAGAGGGGAGTGTCATTCCCCTCCCCCCTAATGCACGCACATATCATCCCCATCCTCAAAAAGCCCTCCCTGGATCCCGCAGACCCCAACAACCTCAGACCCATCTCCCTGCTGCCACTCACCTCCAAGCTCCTTGAGCGCATAGTCTACGATCGCCTAAGCGCCCACCTTATTGACAATAACCTCCTTGACCCATTACAGTCCGGCTTCCGTCCCCTACACTCCACCGAAACTGCCCTCCTCAAAATCACTAACGACCTACTAAACGCCAGAGCCAAGGGCGACTACTCTGTCCTCCTTCTCCTGGATCTCTCTGCGGCCTTCGACACAGTTGACCACCCCCTCCTCCTTAATAAACTACTCTCCCTTGGCATCAGAGATACCGCTCTCTCCTGGTTCTCATCCTACCTATCTCGACGCTCCTTCAGCGTCACCTACAATGGCGCCACCTCCCCCTCTCTGTTGGGGTCCCTCAAGGCTCTGTCCTTGGACCCCTTCTCTTCTCCATCTACACCTCCTTCCTGGGCACACTCATACACTCCCATGGCTTCAATTATCACCTCTATGCTGACGACGCCCAAATTTACCTCTCCACCCCTCTCCTCACCCCCACTATCTCTGCCCGCATCACTCACCTCCTAAACGACATCTCAGACTGGATTTCGCTCCATTTCCTCAAGCTTAACCTCTCCAAAACCGAACTCCTCGTCTTTCCCCCTGCCCACACCCCCCCCCCCCCCCCCCCCATCCTATCCATCACCACCACCAACACCACTATCATTCCCGCCCCGCAAGCCAAAGTCCTTGGCGTCATTCTTGACTCGAACCTCTCCTTCCTGCCTCATATCAAATCACTTACAAACACCTGCAGGCTCCATCTCCGCAATATTGCCAAGATACGTGCCTTCCTCACCCCAGACACCACCAAACTTCTTGTACACTCCCTCATCATCTCACGCCTTGACTATTGCAACGCTCTTCTCACTGGCCTACCCAAGCGCAGGCTCTCCCCGCTCCAGACCATCCTGAACTCATCCACCTCACCACCCGCTCCACCTCTGCCACCCCCCTCTGCCTGTCTCTCCACTGGCTCTCGATTGCCCAACGCTTCAAATTTAAACTTCTAATCCTGACCTACAAAGCCGTTCATAACACTGCCCCTGACTACCTCACCAACCTGATCCCCAAGTACCACCCTACCCGTACCCTTTTCTCCTCACAGGACCTCCTTCTATCCTGCTCCCTGGTCTCCTCCTCCCATGCACGCCTGCAGGACTTCTCCAGGTCCTCCCCCATCCTCTGGAACTCACTGCCCCAATCCATCCGACTGTCGCCTTCCCTCCTCACATTCAGGCGCTCCCTCAAAACCCATCTCTTCAGGTAAGCCTACCCCACCCTCACCTAACGGCCATTCTCCCTCATTCCCCCTCAGCATCCCCCTCAGCCACGTCATCCCCCTCAGCCACGTCATCCCCCTCAGCCACGTCATCCCCCTCAGCCACGTCATCCCCCTCAGCCACGTCATCCCCCTCAGCCACTTCCTGTTCCACTGCCCCCTCCCTCCTAGATTGTAAGCTTGAAAGAGTAGGGCCCTCTTACCCCTCGTACGCTGTCTGTTTTTGTTGTACTGTGCCATGTATTGTCCCCCCATTGTACAGCGCTGAGCAAACCCTTTGTCGCTATATAAACTCGATGTAATAATAATAATAATGTTTACCTATACCTTGAAATAAATGTTTTTACTGGGCTTCTAGATTTGATGATTGGGTAATTTTGGCGGTTACTCAAAATAAACTGCCCGGTGGTTCTGGCTTAAATGGTCATATTTAATACTGTAGTGTTTTTAAAACTATGTATGTACTTTAGGGTAATACTTTTGCTGTGAAAAGTTTCACAGATCTAGCTTATGCTTCTTTTGCAAAACTGAGAATCCTTTTTTTAAACTTTTGTTAAAGCGGAACTGTCCTCACCTCAGCTCTAGCAATTCTGCATCCCGGTGCTTCCCTTTTTGACCGCTGAAAAATTTGGGCGGTTGGCTTCCAGGTCTCGATTGCCATCCACTTTCATTGGCCAAGTGGGGATGCCATGAAATCACTCTTGCGTATGCATGGGAGTTCAGCATTGCCAAATTTGTACAGTGAGCTCCACGTGCTCAGTTCACCGTGCAGGGTAGGACAGGTAGATGAGTAACTTTAATGCAGAAGAGACAAAGCATGTCTCTTCTGCATTCAAATTCCTGCCTGTTCGCCCTTTATTTTTGGCCTAAAGTTCTACTTTAAATAATTTTAACCGCCTCCCTCCCGCCATATAAGCAAATGACGGATGGGTGATGGTTCTCTCGTTCTGGGAGGATGTCCATATGATTTCCTCTCACTCTAACCACGTGTGCACGCCCCCGGTGGAGCGCTGTGTCCCTGGGACACAGCGGATCACCGACCAGCGGAAAGAGCCATTGACTTTGGCTCTGTCATTTGATCAGCTGTGTCCAATCACAGCTGATCACGTGTAAATAAGGAAATGCCGGTTATCGGCATTTCTCTCCTCACAAGCTATCACGCTGACAGCTTGTGAGGAGAGGAGAGCCGGTAATTGGCATTCCTCAGAGGGGACCTCTACACTGATCATCAGGGCACTGATAATCAGTGTAGCCCCATCAGTGCCACTTGTCAGTGCCCATCAATGCTACCTGTCGGTGCACATCAATGCCACATATCAGTGCCTACCATTGCACATCAATGCCATATATCAGTGCCCATCTGAGCTGCCTTTCAGTGCCACCTATCTGTGCCATATGAGTACTGCCTTTTAGTGCCCATCAGTGATGTCTGTCAATGCCCACCAGTGATGCCTGTCAATGCCCATCAGTGCCACCTACCAGTACCGCCTCATCAGTGCACATCAGTGCAGCCTCATTAGCACACATCAGTGAAGGAGAAAAATTACTAATTTACAAAATTTTATAACAGAAACAAAGAAACTTTTTTTTTTTTTTTTTTTAATTTTCAGTTTTTGGTTTATCAAAAAATAAAAAAAACAGTGGTTTATTAAATACCACAAAAAAAAAATTATAAACAATCTCCTATGGGTACAGTGTTGCATGACCGCTCACTTGTCATTCAAAGTGCGACAGCACTGAAAGCTGAAAATTGGCTTGGGCAGGAAGGGGGTGAAAGTGCCCGGTAGGCAATTGGTTAAATATATTTATTCCTTCTATATCTTGCCTAATTTACTTGTGCAGATTGCTGAATATACAAGTCTTGTCTTGCAGATGGAACTACCCTGTGGCTTAACAAACCTGGGAAACACCTGTTATATGAATGCCACTGTTCAGTGTATCCGCTCAGTGCCAGAGCTGAAAGATTCTCTTAAACGGTATTTTTATTTATAGCTTACATAAAAAATTTCTGTGCTTTCTGTGTCCATTAACACACAGCTGTGTGCCCCCCCCCCCACTCTCTGCTCACTGGCTGTGATTGGCAGCAGCAGTATCCAATGTCTCTCACTGCTGCCTCGATATCCAGTAAGGAGAGCAGAAGCAGAGGGAGCTCTTGGGCACATCGCTGGATTGAGATCGGGCTCAGGTAAGTATTTATGGGGACTGGAAGGAGAGCTAGATGAAGGTTTTTTTACCCTAATGTATGGAATGCATTCAGGTAAATAACCTTCTACTTCTACAACCACTTTAATTGAAATTCTTATCTACAATGCTGCTAGACCTGGTCTCTTCTAATGCAGCTATCTTGTGTGGCCATCCTCAGCCCGATTTTTGGAGTGATATGTTGAGACCCCACTGGACTGGACATTGTAATACAAAAAAGAAGAACCACAGTGCCCAGGACCACCTTCCTAACACACTCTTTAAGTGAAATGCCGCTGTACACAGGTATAGAGACCACAAAATTATCAACTTAAAAAACAGCGCAAAACACAAACTACCTCACACCAATCAATATATGTGAACAATAATAAATAACTTATTCATTAAATAATATTAATAAAAAACATTGCAATTTAGTATGTGTCACAAAAAAAAATATATATATATATTAAAACAAGTCCAGTGACACATACAAAAAGAAGTCCAGTGCCCCACAAAAAAAACTTAAGTAAAAAAAGTAAGTTTTTTTTGTGGGGCACTGGACTTCTTTTTGTATGTGTCACTGGACTTTTTGTTTTAATATATATATATTTTTTTGTGACACTTATACTAAATTGCAATGTTTTTTATTAATATTTAATGAATAAGTTATTTATTATTGTTCACATGTATTGATTGGTGTGAGGTAGTTTGTGTTTTGCGCTGTTTTTTAAGTTGATAATTTTGTGGACATTGTAATAGCCTGAAAGTAGCATTCGGGCACTTGCATGCTTTCCAGACTCCATTCTACTAACCATTTAGCCACGGGTCGCTTTCCAGATCCAGAGCCACTGGCATTGCTTCAGCATTGCAGTGAAGACTCACTCCATGAAGATGCCAACCGAGCTGAGCACTTGGCACTACCTCGTATACTTAGGTCAGTGGGCACATCTGAACATTCAAGCTTTCCATTGGTTTCCACTGCAAAAAGGGTTGACTCTATGAAAACTGACAATACAGCCATCATCCGCTGGGTGGATTGTCACACGCACTCTTTCCTGCCATTCAATATTAAGGAAGTATCTCCCCCACTGATGCATCTGCTTGCAAAGAGATATGTAGACCTCCAATTTTTGGTATGTTTCTGCTGCATGCCTACAGAGACTGTGGTCACTTCTGGCCATTTAACCAGACTGCCACCTTGTCCTATATTCACAAATTCTACCAGGTAGATAATATGGTCTCATCTCATGCCACCTTCAGGCAGTCCCCACTTTTTCTGTTGACTTATTTGGGCTTGCTGGCATTTGTTTGCTGTCTTGTCTATTTCTCAGCAAAACTGTTTTTGACTTCTCACAAGTGAATGACTTCTGTGTCCTCCAGTGGACAAAAGTAGTGTTTTCCTACACAGTGTAAAGTTTGTGTGTGTGTGTGTGTTTGGGGGGAAGGTGGCTATTCTGGGCTGGCCTACAGTTGATGGTGTGTGGTTTTTTTTTTTTTTTTTTTTTTTTTGGCCAATGTCCAATCCTTCTGTAGGCAGCAGTAAAACACGAAGGGGAATAACTTTGTGTCCCTCATTTTTCTCCAAAACATGGATTTTATGAAGAGTGCAAGAATCCTAATTTTAAATTTACACTGCAGCACTATAGTCAATCTGCCTTCGTTCGTAGTCCATTTGGTTGCTGGGTTTTAATTAGCTGCCTGACATATTTGTTTGCTGGAAGACTATATTTAGCCTATAGCAGAGATATCCTTTGGCTTTTTTACTAAACTTAGTTTAGATTTATTTATTTCAGGTACTTGTATAGCGCCATCAATTTACGCAGCGCTTTACATATATATTGTACATTCACATCAGTCCCTAACCCTCAAGGGGCGTACAATCTAAGGTCCCTAACTTACAATCATACATACACATACTAGGGACAATTTAGACAGGATACAATTAACCTACCAGGATGTCTTTGGAGTGTGGGAGGAAACCGGAGTACCCGGAGAAAACCCACGCAGGCACAGGGAGAACATGCAAATTCCAGGCAGGTGGTGCCGTGGCTGGGATTCGAACCAACAACCCTAGTACTGCCAGGCGGAAGTGCTAACCATTTAGCCACTGTGCTGCCAGATGGTAGAATACTGTACTATTGGGTTGTTTTGTTTTATTTGCAATAACTCTCTTATATGGTATTTTGTTTCAGCTATGCGGGTGCCTTGAGAGCTTCTGGGGAAATGGCTTCTGCTCAGTACATTACAGCAGGTATATGCATTATAACTAGAGGGAAATGACAATTGTTTTCTGTAAACTTTATTTTTTTTGTATATGTGAATTCCAGATATGGATTTTTTTTATATAATTGTTGCGTTTCTCTAGCTTAGGCCAATCACTTACTTAGACACTGCTACTCCAGTCACCTCTGCTTGCTTTCGGGTCCCAAGCTGAGCAGCTTCCTGCAGCATTCCGAACACAGGAAGTTGACTTTTTGGCAAGGGCACCATTCAGTTCTCTGATTGGAAGAGGTGGAGAGTGTGATGTTGCTGCTCGCCTCTCCAACCTGCCCAGTCAGAGAACACTGTGCATTCTCTGATTCTTTTATTTTTTTTTATATAAAATATTTAATAAAATTAGCATTTTAATAAAAATTACCTGATTCAAAAAAAAAAAGAGCATTTTATACGGGGCGCACCCATTATACTGGGATCACAGATTATTTTTACTTTTTCTAAAGAGAGAACACAGCAGTAACTGTTTTCTTTTAGACTGTCTCTGATTTAAAAGTTGTTAAAGCAGGGTATACACCTTGAGGTGTGTTTTATTTTTTTTTTTTTTTTTCAATTATACCAGTGGGTTGAACCAAAAAAAAAAACCTCACAGATCCCCACATCCACACAAGCAAAATGCAGGGATCTCCCCGCCGCGCTATAGTATATTGACAGCGGACACCTCTGTTCCTTCTGAACTGTCTTATTTTCGGTCCATGTATACCCTGCTTAGGATTAGCCTGATATGTAAAGGCATTTTTATTAACCACCTGCTGCGCTATTCAATGAAAAATAAAAGGCTGGTGCTGCAGGAAATGGCTAAAACATATAGATATACTGTATTGCTATTGGAAAAAACAGCCATAAAAACCATGCTATTGTACTTTCACAACGCAGACTCCCCCGTTCCCGCAGAACCAGACAATTTTTCAGTCTATGTATACTCTGCTTAAGGTTAACCTAAAATGCAAAAAGCACTTTCATTAACCAGTCTGCTTTGCTTCCCTTGTGCGTCTTTGGTGGAGGTTTCAGCGCAAGGGCTGTAAACTTTGAAGTGGTTGTGTTGTATGTTACTTAAAAGTACATCATGTTTTTGCAGCCCTCAGAGACCTGTTTGAATCTATGGACAAGACCTCTTCCAGTATCCCTCCTATCATCCTCCTGCAGTTCTTGCACATGGCCTTCCCACAGTTTGCAGAGAAAGGTGAACAGGGGCAGTACCTGCAGCAGGTAATCCATTATACTGCGTGTGGCATTGCTGAAGCCATCAGCGGGGATTATATACAGCCGTAAGGCTTTTATATTTGTGGCTAACACCAACACAACCAGCACATTTCTCTTGTGGGCTGCCAAATAAAATGACAAAATAGAAATGTGCAGCAGCATTAAAGCCAGCAAAGCCACGATCAGCCTTTATTTTGCCATGCTGGAATTTGAAGCGAACATACTTGAGTACATTCAGCCACTGAGCTGTAAACATTGTGGCTTGGCAGATATGAGAAAAGGTGCTATATGCAACATTTCCATGTCTACACTGCTCAAGACATCTTACCTTCATATCTATATTGTGCTTAAAATTCATGCAAGTGTATTTCTCTTGCTAAATGGATTAATTAGCTGGTTTACTGAATGAAAATGTGGATTGTTAGTTTATTGTGGTTTGTTATTCTCCTATCTTAATTTTCAGGATGCCAATGAATGCTGGGTACAAGTAATGAGAGTGCTACAGCAGAAGTTAGAACCCATAGAAGGGGACACTGACATGGAGGTAAGTACTGGAAACACCTATCAAGCTCTTAGAGATGATCACTGTTCATATTTGGGATTTGCACAATCTAAACAGCTGTTAATATGAAATGGGTAAAGAACATTGGAGTTAAACTAAACATTTTGTTTTGAATAAACTTTAACTTCTATGAGAACGTGGTCATATTATGGGGTGTTTGACTCTAGTAATATATTTTTCACAAGTAAACCTGTTTCATATGAACACCCAGTCATGAAGAATAACACTGACTTGATTGCTGTAAGGCTACAAAAAAAGCTGTAATGTGTGGTAGGTCTTCCTAGGCTTTATTATCTAGCGCAAACTGACATAGAATTTCAAGATAACACTTAAACATGCAAATGCTTCTTAACCGTTCATTGTTTGTGTTTTTAAAACCAAGCTGTAACTGTCATTATGTGTCATAAATATCATTTTTAGCAATATGAGAGCATTTTCACTGATGATAATAGTAATTGTCATGGCAAATAATCCAGCTTGGTTGGTAAACTGTATATTTAGTCATTTTTGCAGGATTTTGTTTATATGCATCTTTAAAAAACATGTAGTGTTGTTTGTGATGAATGAAGCAATGCGTGAAAATGCAAGCACTAAATAACCAATTTTATCGTTCACAGACCAACTCAGGAGCTGCTGCTGCACCAAAGAAGAAGAAAAGCTTTATTGACCAGTTTTTTGGCATAGAATTTGAGTCGAGGTATCCTTTTTATTATGTAGATTCAAGGGTTAGAAAATATTTTGATTCACTTGTCTGTGCAAAGGTGTGCGAGTCAGTATATGTAGACCCTACTGTGGGTGTGGCTTTAAGAGCCTTGGTCTGCAAATGGAAAAGAACAGACTAAAATGGCTAATTAACTGTTCAGTGGGGGAAATGCTAATCTCCTAACCTAATTTCATTTAGCATATTCAAGTCAGCAACATTGAGGTTAGTATGATCATGACATTTCAGTCTGCAGTTGGCTAACTTTTTTTTAAACTAGCAGAAAGTGCAAGTTTTTTCAGCCATGGAATGGAGACATTTTATACACTGAACAGAATACACACCGAAATCTTCTTTCCTGCTTTGTGTTAATGGCTTCCTTCTTTTTCCACAAACAGCCTAAAGCAAAAATGTCAGGCATCCTTAGCACTGTCCTTAGGTTCTCTGCAGTGAGCCCTTCATGTTTGGTAATATATTGGCCAAGGGTGTTCCGTACTCCACAGCTATGCTGAGATGCAACTACAGAAAAGTAAAGGGACACAGGAAGTCTTTCAACTATGAGGTGTACCGATGCCTACAAAATAGTTTTGATACTAGGAAACCAAAATGTAGGCTAGCCCAGGGTAACCCCTCCTACTACTAGCATGCCTCAGTTTTTTGCTTGTGCCCTAGCAGGGTGGCTTTTTTTTTTTTTTTTCAACTCTTTCTAGAGCCACTGGTTTTGCCTCAATACTTGCCTGTCACTCAATTCTCACTTTGTAATTGGGCCTGTCAGGCCAAGCAATAGGAGCTTTTTGGATTTTGGCTGTACTTGAGTTTTTTTTTTCAAGTTTCACTATGTACATTTGAATTCACTTTTATTGTTCACTTTTATTTTGCTGATTATACTTTTAATTAACTCAGCACTTTTCATTCACAAGCAACAGGAGCTACCTAAATAAATAGGTCACTGGGTATCTTTTTTTTTTTTTTTTTTTTTTTTTTTTTTTTTAAATTCTCCATTTCGAGCCATTTTTCAGTGGGGGATACAATAGTGTTGCACACCTTGGCTATGTGCTATTTCCTGCCATACAGCGTCAAGGAAGCATTTCCCCGCTGCTGCTTTGCAAAGAGCAACAATGAATGCTGATCTTTCTGCTTCCCACCTTCAAGGACTTTGGTCACCTATTGCCATCTGACTCAACTGCTACAACTATCTAGGTTTTCTTAGTACTTGAGGCCTTCCCTCATTCCCTGAGCCTTAGGTTGTCTTAACTACACATGGGGGGAGATATTCCCACTGTACGAAGTGCCTCCAGTTTGCCCTCTACTTACAGCTTTGGTGCTGCTTGCAACATGCCCACTGGTATGGCCATTGTCTACAGCCTGTGTCCCTCTGCTCCTGAGGTTATTACCATATCCATGCAAGACTTCCCTTCCAAAGTCTGTCTCTCTGAACACTGCTTCTTTCAGAAATACTGATTCTTTTTTTCATCTCTAGGTGGCTCAGGTCTTGTTCCACCATCTCTAGGTGGCTCTAGGCCTGTCAGCATTAGGCAACTGTTTCCCAGATTTGCAAGGCTGCTATCTGGCCTTCTGTTCACACATTCTCAAGGTTCTACCTGATGGATATTGCATTCTCATCCAATGCCAGATTCGGGCACAAGGTCTTTAAAGGTGGTATTTTGAGTTGCAGGCATTCCCACATTTTCTTCAGCCTGTTACTTTTTTGTTGACTGTGTCTCTTATCCACCATTTGGACTGCTTTTTGGGGGTCCCAAAGGTCAATGACTTCCTATGTCCACACCTCCTGTAGTCAGCAGTATTACACAAAGGTGAAAGGCTTCCTTTGTATCTCAGTGGAGTTTAAGACAAGGGTTTTTACAGTGATTAGAAAAAAATTTGATTCAGTGTAACCATTGAACTATCATGTACTGGATGCATACCATATTATAAAAACTGCTTTCACTGATGATTTTCTCTATATTTATGGCAAACCCAAGATTTGTATTAGAGAAGCTGCAACCATTGCCTCAAATGCATGCTGTCTCGCTCTGACCCCAAAGCAGGAAAGTACTTTTGTTTAAAGGATAAGTTCACCTTTAGAAACATGTTACATGTTCCACCTGTTTTTAGAGTGGAACATGTAATATGTTCCCACCACTGCGGCTGCTGCCCGATTTGAGGCCCCCCCCCCATGATGACAGCAATACGGAGAGAAGTTTCCCGTACTAGCTGTAAGTTTTTGAAAACAGCGCGGCTGCATCATTTATTCACAGCTCTCTGTGAATGAATGAACTGCAAGTCCCAACAGTCTTTGAGGTTGTCAGCTTGTAGTTCTCAACAAACTACTATGTCGCTGTTGAGCACTGTGATAGTTCGAGTCTTCCTATCAGATACACTGACAGTTTACAGAAGTCATATTACAAAATAGTAAATGCACATCTTTTATTTATTTATTTATTTTTTTTTTTAAATAAGTGTGTGTGTGCATGCGTGCATGTTGGCATGACGATAGCTTCCATCTGGGGGTCTCTCAATTTTTTTTTTTATTTTTATTAATAGTTCATACAAATCAATTTGTTTATGAATATTATTTTCTTTAATGGTTTCAAAAGCATGAAATGCACTGAATCTGAAGAGGAAGAAGTAACAAAAAGTAAAGAAACCCAGTTACAGCTCAGCTGTTTCATTAACCAAGAAGTAAAGTATCTCTTTACTGGACTCAAGTTGGTGAGAACAATTTCATCACTGTATTTATTTTTTTTTAACTGTGAAATTTGTAATTGACTCATAAAACTTTACTTGTAAGCTTTGTTTACCAGCATCTGCAAAATCAAAGTAATGATTTGTGGTACCACTTATACCTCCTAACTCCATGATTGGCTTACAAGTGAAATACTTCAAGTGAAATGCTCAGATTGCAAAATGTCCAGCTAAAATATTGTTTAATGGGACTAATGCATATCTATGTGTTTATATATCATTTAGGAGCCAAAGCCTTTAAAGGAGAAGTACAGCCAAAGCTTTTTTGGCTGTACTTATCCTGTGGATCACAGAAGTGCAGTTCGTTCTGCATGTGTGTGACCCATTTTCAGCTGACATCGGACGTCACTCAGCAGGTCCAGGCTGGGCAAAGTCTGGAGCAGCTCCAGAGTTTAGAGCAGCACCTGGCTCAGCCTATCAGCGAAGTGCTGAGAGCCAGAGCCAGCCGATTCCTGACTGACCAGCGCTCTGCTCAGAGCATAGAGGAGAACTCCATGGTCAGCAGTCATGTGATCGCTGAGTTCTCACCCTTGGGGGTGGGAGGGGGGGGTGTGACAGGTGCAGCAACAGACCGATGCTGCATCCACCTAGGTAAGTATAAATAGGAGAAAGGAAAAAAAAAAAAGCCCTACTTCTTTTTAAGTTTTAATTAACCAGTTCATTTGATAGGGCTAAGTGAATATTTAATATTCTCTTCTTAAAGGGTAGTTGTACTTCTAGAAAAAGTACACTTACCATGCCTACCTATCTTCCCTAACCCAATTGCATAGTTACTTGAATCTTGCAGTCACAGCCCACCAAACTGTTTACATCCTTAGTGCCGAATCTCATTCCAGCTGACTGCACCTGAGCAATGGGTCTTCATAGACTTCTATGGGACTGTCTCCCAAGCATCTCCAGCCTTGGAAAATTGTCTTCAGGATGTAAACCACACAGCAGACTAAATCTCATCATAGATCGAAATGTGGCTGGACCAACAGGAACTGTTGAAATGTGGCCATTCCTGTTCAAGAAGACCTAATGATCAACTCCTCCCGAATGGGACTGTTGGTAAATTTTCGTCCAGTTGGCCTGTCAGCTGCAGCACTGATCAGTGTATTCTGACAGTTGAGGAGTCCCACTGTCAGGATGCAGTAGTGCAACATGGAGGAGTTCCCCATACACCTCGAATATGTTGATGGGGAAGTCTGTTCAGTTTTTTTAATTTTAACCTGCTGGCTGATCAAAAAAAAAAACTGATCAATGTATAGTTGGCTTTAAGGCCATGAGAGTTGGAAAAGTATACAGCTGGGAGGAGGGAGAGGGGTAGACAGGAGGCCTGGACCGGTCCAGTGACTTCAGCCGATAGTGGACTTTAGCCTGCTGTCAGCTGCAAATGGGTGACAGGAGTGCAGAATGAAGTGCACTCCTGCGATCCATAGGAGAAGTAGGGCTTAAAGAGCTTTGACCCTACATTTTTAAATCCATGTTCATTTTCCCTATTTCTGTCCAAGGCAGTACCAGTCACAAGAACAAGAAATTTGGTAAATGGTGCTTCAGACTGCAATAAAAACCTGACAGATTTTCTAACTGTCCCCTACAATGTCCAAAACCAAAGAAAAATGTTAGTGTGGACCTCTACTTTAAAATGTTTTGAACAGCTGCAGTATAAGAGGCCATACCTAATGAAAGTGTTCTCTGCTTTAAAATAAACAGCAATCTGCTGAGCACACACTTTAACCTCTTTCTTAAAGGATAAATTCACCTTTGGGAATATGTTACATGTTCCCCTCGGTTTTAGGGTGGAACATATAACCTGTTCCCACAGCTGCAGCCGCATAGACCGCCCCCCCCCCCCCCCCCCCTCTAACAGATAGTACAGGGAATCTTCTCCCCGTATTATCTGTCAGATTTCAAAACCGTATGGCCATAAGGGGCTCCGCCCACACGGCCGCGTCATTCATTAGCTGATTTCTGTGAATGAATGAACTGCAAGTCCCGACAGCCTTAGCAGCCGTTGGTCTTGCAGTTTTCAAAGAACTACCATAGCGCCGTACGGCAAGCAGATATTCTGACAGGTCTGCAGGAGACTTGCATGGCATCAGCGTTGGTTCTATAGACTTCAATGGAGAATCTGCTGAAAAACATGTAGTAGGTTTTTGATGCGTTTTTAGTTTTAATCTGCCCTGCAACAAGTTGGGGGAAAGGAAAACGCACTGCAAAAAGCACTGCAGAAATGGATCAAACGCAAACTGCATTGGTGTCAACCTAGCCTTAAAGTGGTTCTAAACCTCAGACATGAAATATGAAGAAAGCACATCCCACTATAGTGTATACTAGCCTGAATCCAAAGAACCATGTGTGACTCCTCTCTAATTTCTTCTCTCTACTATCTGCATGAGTCACGTCTGACAATTTTCCTGACACCTCAGCCTCCCAGGAGACAGCCAGGAGACAGCACACTGCAAGTGACTCATAGCCTTAGCTCTGTGTATTTTTCCTTGAGCCTGTAAGCCTGTGTAGAGGGGTTTGTGCCTCTTTCCATGAACCAGCTGTCAGATATCATGGAAGTCAATGCTCTGCAGTGTGTGTGTGTGATGTCAGATTCCTGCCCCCTGCTGCTAGAACTGAGAAACACATCCTTTTGATCTGTGTGTTGTAGAACGTTCTGCAGATAAACAGGCACAGCTTATGTAGGAGGATTTGCTTCATCTGTGCCTCACCTGACGCTATTCACTTCACTGGGAATACACACTCACCGGCAACTTTATTAGGTACACCTGATCCATTGCTTGGTAACACAAATTGCTAATCAGCTAATCACAAGGCAGCAACTCAATACATTTTAGGCATCTAGATGTGGTGAAGACGACTTGCTGAAGTTCAAACTGACCATCAGTATGGGAAAGAAAGGGGATTTAGGTGACTTTGACCATGGTATGGTTGTTGGTGCCAGACGGGCTGGTCTTAGTATTTCCAAAACTTCTGATCTATTGGGATTTTCACACACAACAGTCTCCAGGGTTTACAGAGAATGGTCAGAGAAAGATAAAATATCCAGTGAGTGGCAGTTGTGTGGATGAAAATGCCTTGTTGATGTCAGAGGAGAATGGGCAGACTGGTTCGAAATGATAGAAAGGCAACAGTAACTCTTGTCAATATGGACCCAAAATCTCTGAGGAATGTTTCCAACACGAAAAGTTAAGGCAGTTCTGAAGGCCAAAGGGGGTCCAACCCAATACTAGCAAGGTGTACCTGATAAAGTGGCTGGTGGATGTAGAAGGGTTTACAGCCACTTTAACCCCTGAAATGACCCCTTAACTTATTCCTCCCACCAAGGAACCCCTGACGTTAAGGTGGCAGCAGTAAGATGGCATTATTGGAATATTTGCACACATACTACACTAGAGCAGGGGTGTCAAACTCCATTTCATCGCGGGTTGTGTCAGCATTATGGTTGCCCTCAAAGGGCTGGTTGTATCAGTAAGACTAGATGTTCAGAGCACTCCACCCCCTCATTACATTAGATGTAAAAAATCCCACATCCTCCCTAACATCTTCGTGCACCCCCTTTGCACTTTCTGCTTTCCAGCTCTGCCCCCAAAGTCTGGAGGAGGAGGAGTGGAGTCAGTTACCAGAGTCTGCTGAATGCTGAGACCAAGGGAGGCAGAGATGGGGGGGGTGCTGCAGCTGCACTTGAGAGGTGCAGGGTTTGGCAGAGGAGTTCTTTTCTCCTCTTTGCTGCCGACTGCTAAGAAAAGGTGGCGGAGACAAGGGGGTATCTGCAGGAGAGGTGCAAGGGCCACATGAAATGGCCTGGAAGGCCAGATTCAGCCTGCGGGCCGTGTGTTTGACACCTGTGCTCTACAGTATGATATTCAAAATTCAGACTGCATCTAAAAATTGTGCATTTGGTAACACTTAAAGTGGTACTAAATTCAAAACCCAAATTGTAATCTATAGCAGCTTTCCAATTATCAGATGTGGTGGCTGCGTCATTTTTTTTTTTCCTTAGGCTTTTCCCTATTGTCAGTCTGGAGGGGATGAGAGTATTCGTTGTACTAGCAGATTACAGCTGATGACTCATCCGTTGTTAAGGACGCGGCGGGAGGCTTCTTGGACCTCTCCTTATCCTCTTAAGGACTGCCCTATATTCTGAAATACTGCTTCAGGGTGGCACTTGTGCGCACAATCGCGTGTGTATATATATATATAGATAGATAGATGTGATTTTGCATTTCTGGGTAGGTGGAGTGCGTGCCCTACCCGCACTGCCATTCGCGGCCACGGATGTCAATCACCAGGTCCCGGCCGGTAATTACCCACCGGTGCCCCATGATTACCGACAGTCACCAACGGGGAGGAAAACTGTTTTGTTTACAAACAGTCTTCCTCCCTGTCAGCTTGAGCACACTGCTCGGGTTGGCTGTGCTGTGTGCTTACAGTAAAGCACACACCTCTCGCCCCCTAGTAAAACACTCCCAGCACATAGTTTAACCCTTTATTCACCCCTCATTTTAACCCTTTCCTGCTCAGTGCCATTAGTACACTGTCTGTGGGTTTTTTTTCCAGCACTGATCACTGTATTGGTGCCACTGGGGATGTCATTGACACCAAGTTAGTTCCCCCCTAGTGTCAGAATGTCCACCGCAGTCCCGCTAAAAGTTGCTGATCATTGCCATTACTAGTAGAAAAAAAATATATAAAAAATCCCAGCATCTATACCGCCATTTTTAAAGGCTAGAACTCTCACATAAAGCAATCTAATTGGCACGTATTGGGATTTTTTTTTTTTTTTTAGCAAAGACATGTCGCAGAATAAATTTTGGCCTAAATTTATGACGAAATTTAGTTTTTTTTATTTTATTTTTTTTTAATGGGCGTGTTTAATAGCAAAAAGTCCAAAATATATATTTTTTTTTTTTCTCAAAATTGACTGTCTTTCTTTGCTTATAGTGCAAAAAATAAAAACCGCACAGGTGATCAATACCACCAAAAGAGCGCAATTGGTGGGGGAAAAAAAGAACATAAATTTCATTTGGGTGCAGCGTTGCATGACAGCGCAATTGTCAGTTAAAGTAACGCAGTGCCGTAACGCAAAAAATGGCCTGGTCAGGAAGGGGGGTAAATCCTCAGGAGGGCAAGTGGTTAACAACCAGTGAAAAAAAAAAACTCTGCTAAACGCTGGGCACCGGCGTTTAGGAGCTGTCAGCTTTTTTTTTTTTCCTGCCAAAACGCTGCTGCTCCTGGATGCACTGGCCCTGGGAGGCTGGTAAACACTACTGCTACTAAAAACTTCTAAACATCTAAGTACACATAGCATAATATGTAAGGCCATTTAGAAGCGGTTAAAAAAAAAATGCCTGACTCCCTTAAAAGTGGCCGCAAAAAAAACACCCTGTGTGCATGAGGACTAAATCAGGACTAAGGTCCATAATGCCTAACTCTCCTTCAGTGGTTCAAGGTCCCTTGCTGGTGCCAGCATCGTCAGCCTGGGTTCTTCTGGGTGTCTGGGATATGTGGTCATCTTCACTGGTCAGTGCAGGATGATGCCTCTCCTTCTCTTCTGTAATAAAGAGCCTGTCTGCTCAGTTTATTTTTTTTGACAAATGAACTAGGAAAATACTATTTTGGAGATGGCAGAACTGTTCAGACATTGACCTGCATGATGTATCTTTTTCTAGCGCCTTCAAGAAGAAATCACCAAACATTCACCGTCACTGCAAAGAAATGCTTTATATATCAAAACTGTGAGTTCAAATTTTATATTACTCTTCTTTAAAAAGGTTTTATGTTGTAAAATTATTATTAGACTATGCAAAATTGAACATGCTCTTCAAGTTAGTGGTGTGTTATCGGATGCATACATGTTGTGTTTCTATGTTTTAATGTGGGTTCTGTTCAAGCAGCCCGCTGATTGTGTTTGGGCTGCCAACACACCAAAAATATACATAACCCTGTTTTCAACTAAGTGTATCACAACACATGGCATGTACCATGTGATGCATTGCAGTGCTTTTGCTTTGCTGGCTACTGTATAGTGTGTTGGAATGCTACTCACAATGGCAGTGTACAGAGTCATGATGTGTTACAACAGGCTGATCTATTTAATGGAATTTTAGAATATTGGTGTTATAAAGCCAACATGTTAAAACATCCAGATATCCCAGATTTTAGAGAATTTTTTTGGGCACCCTCTGGATCCAGATGTGAACTTGTGGCAGCATTTTATTAACCGTTTCCAAAAATCGGATGTAGGTGCATGTGGGGACTTCCATTTGAGAAGTATAATTTTACGTGCATAAAAGAGCAAAAGCCCTAACAAGGTTCACATGGCCCTGGATATAGCCAGGAGATGGACTAAGCCCAACACATAAACAACAGATAAGGGTATAGAGATGGCCATCACAGAATAAATATACTGAGCAACATCCATCCAAAAAGATTTGATCACGGGCCATTCCCAGAAGACATGTAGGAATGTCGCCGGGTCTTCCGGGCAACATCAGCACTTAGATGTGTGGGAAGGATAAATCCTATGAAGTTTTTGGGGAGTGAGATGGACTCTGTAGAGAATCCTAAATCTGATTAAGCAGTCTCAAGCAAAGACTAATTTTTGCATGGGATACTCCCATATATCCTCCTAATCTTCAGAATCCAACTTGTCGAGGCCTTCATGAATGGTAGGCTGAAGAACTTTGTAAATATTGGAAAGTGGTTTTGTCAATGTGCAATCATGCAATAGGGATTCAATCCCTGATTCAATAAATGTGACTAGTTGGTTGCTAAACTGCAAGAGAAAGGCATGGCATAGTTGGAGGGATTGAAACAAGTATGAATTAGGGAGGGCATATTTTGTTTTTAAATACCGTATTTTTCGCACCATAAGACGCACTTTTTTCCCCCCAAAAAAGGGGGGAAAATGTCAGTGCGTCTTATGGAGCGAATATGGAGCGGCCGGTCCGGTATTTCCACTGCCGCCGTGTCAGAATACCGGGCCGGCCGCTCAGCTCTACAGCGGGACCTTATAGAGATGACTGCTGACCTTTTGGGGAGGGGGGGGAGCGGGTACCTGAATTTGACAGGTACCCGCTCCCACTTCCGTGGAGTTGTTCTTTCATCTTACCTGTTCCTCTATCCAGCGGCGCGGTCTTCTCGGCTTCTGTAGTGTGGGCATGACAGTCGGGTGCCAAGTGTGCATGCGCAGGAAGCGGTGCTTTTTGTGAATGGTAAGGCGGTACCTGGGACACATGACAGATCCCAGAAGCCACCAGACCAATCACAAAGCGCAAGTGCTTCTCGCTCATGCGCACTGGGCACCCGGCTGTCATGCCGAGCGCCATTACAGAAGCCGGGAAGACAGCGCGCGGCTGGATCGAGGAACAGGTAAGATGAAAGAACAACTCCGCGGAAGTGGGAGCGGGTACCTGTCAAATTCAGGTACCCGCTCCCCACCTCCCCAAAGGTCAGCAGTCATCTGTACTGTCCGCAGTCTCTGGTCATCCCTGTGCTGTCCGCAGTCTCTGGTCATCCCTGTGCTGTCCGCAGTCTCTGGTCATCCCTGTGCTGTCCGCAGTCTCTGGTCATCCCTGTGCTGTCCGCAGTCTCTGGTCATCCCTGTGCTGTCCGCAGTCTCTGGTCATCCCTGTGCTGTCCGCAGTCTCTGGTCATCCCTGTGCTGTCCGCAGTCTCTGGTCATCCCTGTGCTGTCCGCAGTCTCTGGTCATCCCTGTGCTGTCCGCAGTCTCTGGTCATCCCTGTGCTGTCCGCAGTCTCTGGTCATCCCTGTGCTGTCCGCAGTCTCTGGTCATCCCTGTGCTGTCCGCAGTCTCTGGTCATCCCTGTGCTGTCCGCAGTCTCTGGTCATCCCTGTGCTGTCCGCAGTCTCTGGTCATCCCTGTGCTGTCCGCAGTCTCTGGTCATCCCTGTGCTGTCCGCAGTCTCTGGTCATCCCTGTGCTGTCCGCAGTCTCTGGTCATCCCTGTGCTGTCCGCAGTCTCTGGTCATCCCTGTACTGTGTCTGCAATCTCTGGTCATCTCCTGTACTGTGTCTGCAGTCTCTGGTCATCTCCTGTACTGTGTCTGCAGTCTCTGGTCATCTCCTGTACTGTGTCCGCAGTCTCTGGTCATCTCCTGTACTGTGTCTGCAGTCTCTGGTCATCTCCTGTACTGTGTCTGCAGTCTCTGGTCATCTCCTGTACTGTGTCTGCAGTCTCTGGTCATCTCCTGTACTGTGTCTGCAGTCTCTGGTCATCTCCTGTACTGTGTCTGCAGTCTCTGGTCATCTCCTGTACTGTGTCTGCAGTCTCTGGTCATCTCCTGTACTGTGTCTGCAGTCTCTGGTCATCTCCTGTACTGTGTCTGCAGTCTCTGGTCATCTCCTGTACTGTGTCTGCAGTCTCTGGTCATCTCCTGTACTGTGTCTGCAGTCTCTGGTCATCTCCTGTACTGTGTCTGCAGTCTCTGGTCATCCCTGTACTGTGTCCGCAGTCTCTGGTCATCCCTGTGCTGTCCGCAGTCTCTGGTCATCCCCTGTACTGTGTCCGCAGTCTCTGGTCATCTCCTCTACTATGTCTGCAGTCCATTAGTTCAGAATTTTTTTTTCCTGTTTTCTGCCTCTAAAACCTAGGTGCGTCTTATGGTCAGGTGCGTCTTATGGAGCGAAAAATACGGTAATCAAAGGTTTGGAGGGTAACCTCCTGTAGAGATTTGGTTAAGGTATTTGATCCATTTAGACGCCCATACATTTGGGATCTGGAGCTATGAAAAACTCGGTGAGGTGGGGATTTAACCATAAAGGTGTATGGGGTGACCATGTATTAGCAGAGACAGGGTGTTGCAATTGCCATGCCCTAATTAATGATTTCATAGATTTTGTGATAGGATAAGGAGCCAAAGCATCTCTATATAGTACGTTTTTCAGGGCTTCACAGGAGCCTAGGTGTGCTGCGCCACCGCGGCATTAGTTTCGTCTGCCACCAACCAATTTATGGGCATGATGAAGTTAAGCAGCTACAGAGTAGACATGTAAGTTGGGGCATGCTAACCCCCTCCCCCCTTATGTCCAGGGCCACTGACGGGTAGCCAGTTTAAACGTGGGCTGTCCAGATCCCCATAAGAAGGAGGTGAGCACAGATTCAAACTGTTTGAAATTCTCTGTGGGCATGTTCCAGCAGAGAATAGTTCTCCTCGGTAGGACAATGTACAAAAGCTAAAGCAGCCTCAGACTCCTTCTGCTCCAGTCTAATGGCTAGTGTGTGTAAAACTCCACTTTCACTGATTTGATGGTAGAGATGTATTGGCCTCTGGTGTAGGCTTCAAATGCATCCCACACCACTTGGGGGGGGATGCAGATCCATCATTCACTTCCCAATATTGAGCCATAGCGTCAGCTGCTCCCACACCTTTTTACATTATGAAGCCACTTAGAATCCAGGCACCAGCAGCTTGGGTCTCTTTGGACCCCAACCTCTAATGTAACTTCCAAGGGGGAGTGATCCAAAATGCCCACAGGTAAGTAGGAAACCTCTGGCACAGACACCAGTAGTGGCCTGGAGCTAAACGCCAGATCTATTCTGGATCCAGATTATTGGGAAGCAAGAAACACAATCTCATGGATGTTTAACTCTCCGCATTTCTATAAGCTCAAACTTCTGGGCCCAAGCCACCAAGTCCGTGTTCAGAGCTCCTAATGAATTAGAGGAGTTCAGGGGGGCATATAAAACAGAGTTGAAATCTCCAGCCCACATAACCTGAGAGAAAGCTGCAGGGGCACCAATTTTTCCTGGATTGTGTATAAAGTACCAGGAGAAAATGGTGGTGGAATGTAGACTTTTATCAATACATATTTCATATTACCAAGTTCCAGTGCCAAATTAATATATCTTCCTCCTGGATCAGTACACACATGCACTACATTATATGTGAGAGACTTGTTCAGAAGTATGGCAACTTTCCTGGCATAACTAGAATAAGTAGAATATAAAGCCTGTTGTACCCATGCTTGTTTAAGAGAGAGGATCTTATTCCTCAAAAGGTGGGATTTTTTTGTACAAAAAAAAATGCAGTTTGTGTGCATTAATGTATTTGAACATGAGAGATCTCTTAAATTTGTTATTCAGTCCTCTTATGTTCCAAGATACCAATCTGATTTCCATATTGAGGGGCAATTTGAATATTATACCAGGAAGTAGACATTTTAAACAAGCCAGGGATGAGCTGTAAGTGGGGGAAAAAATAAAAATAAAAATAAAAGGTGCCATATCTGCAAGGGAATTGCCACAACTCCCACAATAACAGCATTATGAGAAAATCAAGAAAGAGATACCTGATAAGACAATTTAGCAAGTGAGGTAGGACACAGGTGGTTGCAATAGTAAAAACAACATTAACTCCTTACTGACCGGTAATCCCAACAACTAGGCCATTCAGTTTTATACCCTAAACAGAAAAACCAAATGTCCTTCTTGTATGCAGGGACTTTGCCGCTTCTGCAGTGAAGGGCAGAACTAGGGGTGTGAAGGGCTAGTGGTTTGTGTCCAGTAACCAGGTAGCTCCCAAACTGTAAAGATAAAAGTGTGCAGTAGAAACTGAAAACTGGGGCCATGACTCCGGTGGTGAAAGAAAAAGGGACACTGCTAGCCCGGGAAGGGATTATGTGGTGACGTCCATAACCATGGCAAAAACTTCCTCTGGGACCCTGCCCTGAGTGGGCCATAGAATAAGGAAAGGATAATACCTTAATTCCACAGAAGTCTCCTAACACCAGAAATGAGGAACATGTCAGGGCCCATAACAGTGACAGTGCCTTTCCAGTATAGTAGACAAGGAAAGATGCGGACAGAGAATAATGCTTACCGTTGAGTGATGAACCAGACGTCAATATCCGCTGGGTGTCAAAAAACCAGACTAACCCCTCATGTTGTTCTCGGAGGCGGCTTAGATAAAGCATGCTATAGTTAATATTTCGGTCAGGGAGCCTTTGATGAACATCATTGAAAGTTTTTCTCTTCCTCTGGAGCTCAGCCAAGAAATCCGGGAATAGGAAGATGGGTGAATTTTCATGGGCCAGCGTGGGTGTTTCCTAGCTTCAGAAAGGATCCTATCCCTGTCTCGATAGTTGAGAAAATGATAGGGCGAGGGTTGTTGCCCAGATTAACATATGCAGTTGGTACTCGATGTGCACGTTCCACAACATAGGTAGGGGAAACTTCTGTAAGGCCCAGCAAATCTTTAAAGAAGGCTTCAGCAAACTCCGCTGGTTTTTCTTTCTCCGGGCCTTCAGGGAGCTCAAGGTCATGGACATTATTGCGCCTCTGCCTGTTACCCGCGTCATCTGATTTGGCAACCAGTGTATTCACTGTACATTGGAGGGCTGCTATATCGGTAGTATGGGAGTCAGTGAGATCCTCTGTAGCAGCGATCCGGGATTTCGTTTCAGTCAGCTGACCCCTTATCTTGTCCAAGTCTTTCCGGATAAGATTACACTACTCCCTGAGTCTGTCTATATGGACCAGCAGGGAGGTCTTCTGTTCTATAGCAGCCAGAATGCCAGCTGTGCTGCCTGTAGGTTGGGAGGCTGAGGTCGACATCACAGATACTCCCTCGGGTTCCATGTCCAGCTCCGCCAGTAGTGCCTGAATTCACTCTGCGAAGATGGCATCTGGCTTGTGGTCAGGGTCGGTGGCAGCTGGGAAGCATGGGCGTGCTTGGTGGAGTGGTTTTTGGACAGCTTAGGCGGAGAGGGGGATAAACCACTAAGATGGGGGAATCTTCCACTGGGTCAAAAAGCTCTAAAATCCAAGGATGAAGTCAGGATGACCGGGAGCTCCTCTCCAAGTCCTCTGCCACGGCTCACATCCAGTCACGCCCCCACCCCCCATGTAAAATAGTTTTTAATAAATACATTGGCTTGTTCCAAAGTGTAAAAAACTGGTGCAGCCAGCTGACAAGAAATCAGGTTAGTGGCTCTGGGTTGCTAAATTAGTAATTGCACTATCTTTAATGGAGAGTTTTGATAGAATTAATTTTGCATTCCATCACAAGGATTTTGAATTATAATTGGTAAGTTCAACACTGAACATCAGGGTGGCTTGTTCATTTGCTGTCTTATGGCAGAATGCGAGACTGCAATGCAAGCTTGAAGCAAGGTTTGGTTGCTGTATGGTAAAGAGGACCTGATGATAATCATTTGTCTCATTTATGCTTTTTCCATTGTAGTCCAGATTAAGCCGTTTACCAGCCTACCTGACTATCCAGATGGTCCGATTCTTTTATAAAGAGAAGGAGTCTGTCAATGCCAAAGTTCTTAAGGTTTGTGTTTTTATTCCTGACATTTTATTTATGCAGATTTGTCAAAAATAGAAAAACTATCAACACTTTAAATTTGCATGCCTGCTATTATTCATTATCATTATCATTATACTTTAGTGCCTTTAGTTTCTACAGGCTAGCTGTTAATCCTAGTGGTTACTGTAGGTGTAATTCACTTCCCATTGGATCTATCATGATGCAGCTTTCTGAGTACTTGCCATATTTTGAGAGATACAGTTAGAAATCTGAAATTCAATAAAATAGCTGTTTTGCTTCTAAGGCCAAAAAACTGAAGTGATAACAGAATTATACCAGTTTCTGATAATATTTTGCCTGAGATAATTATCCTTTTTACATACAGTCGTCATGTTCCTGGGGCTCTACGACCAGTCAGAGCGACATAAAGTCCTGGAGCTTTTCACAGCAGGATGCCAGTTGGTTCACCAGTTCATTTTTGACCCTGTAAAATGATTGGTTCTTTAATGTAAAATATACTCTACCCTAAAAACCAAGTACATTTCTAACTTGCAGGATGTTAAATTTCCTCTTATGTTGGATATATACGACCTGAGCACACCGGAGCTTCAGGAAAAGATGGTCCCATTCCGTTCCAAATTTAAAGACTTGGAAGACAAAAAAGTATCTGGGCAGGCACCAAAGGTAAGTACATTTATTCCCTTCCTTTTTTGTACATATTCAAGTAAAGTATCCGGTGTCTTCATTTTTATGGAATATAAATATTTAAATATAAGCAGCATGTCCAGAGTTGTATGCAGGCGTTACCACTGTCTAGTAATGTAGCAATTAATATTTAGTAATATCTTTAAACCTGAACTCCGGGCAGAAGTTGTATACTATATTTTGTACAGTGTATATAGGTGCTTCTATACCTTTTAAATAATTTCTTGGTGTTACAGTGCACAGTTCTCTTGACAATCAGAAACCCACCTTTTTTTTTTTGCTCTGTGAAAAACCCACTGTTCCCCTAATGATCGGTAACTGTTGTGCCCGCTATTCCCTTGGCCACTGGTCTTGTACATTCCCCAATGTAGCTCTTAGTAAAGGGAATGGTGATGTGATTACGTAACTGCTTACTGCAGTGGGCGGACCCAAGAGTCTTGGACTCCTCGTCCTGTGCAGCAAAGTTAGATTGATGGGTGAGGAGTCTGATCTATCCCACACAAGTCTACAGTCCAGCCCACATTGCTACGCATTCGCATTTAGACTCTAAATACCAGGGCATGATGGGATTGCTAGTCTTGGTAAGTGGTGACAAACACTAACAGGAAGTGATGTCCTTTCTGAGATACCTCTTTCTGGAGCCCAGGGACAGAGGAAAATGCTCTGTGAAGAGATGACATAATAGATTTTTTTAAAACTGAGCTTCATATACAGTGTGCATTTTTAATCAAAATCACGTTAGCCGTTTTGCTTTACCCCTTTGCGCCCAAGGGTAAAACAAATGTTAATGCCTAAGCACAATTTTGCAACTTTGCCATGTGTTTAGTAAACCCGTACATATCACAATTACTTTGTCCATCCAGGTGGATTATCCCTTGTGTTTTTTGTTTTTTTTTTTTTTTTTTTTTTTTTTTTTTTTTTGGACCAATTGGGCTTTAATTTTGTGGTAAATGGTAATAGACATTTCCTGATAGAGATATATATATATATATATATATATATATATATATATATATATATATATATATATATATATATATATATATATATATATATATATATATATATATATATATATATATATTTTATATATAAAATATAATATTTTTTTTTTTTTTTTTTTAATTAAAGGAAAACTGGCCCAAAATAGTAAAAAGAAAAAAAAAACAACTTTTTTTTTTATAATTTTAGCTGTATATTTTTTTGTTACTACCATAACCTACCACCAAAGAACAACCCAAAATAAATTCTCCTGCTCCCGGTGATCACAGCAATACCACATATGTTTGTTATTTTGTATTCGTAGTACAGCCAAGAAACAATTTTGCTTGTTTATCTCTCTGCATGGAGAGAGAGATGCAATGTATCTTTCCTTTTCGTTCACAGATAGAAACACAGGAGTGGGATTCACAGTGACTGATTACTGTGATAGCCAATTGGAGGCTATCACAGTGATCAGGTGAACTGGGAGTTCCAGGTCCCAATCATTTAGTATGGGGGATCTGGGGCTCCCGGTGACAGCCCAGTCTCTGTGCAGACAGATACTCATATGTGCAGTCCCATGGAAAAAAGCCTAGTCCAGTGGAGCCGCATATATGCATACAAGGGGGTAACTAACTGCACAGGACTATCATATAGGTTTGATCACCATCCCAAAGATTTTCATTAAGTTGGCCATATGCTAGTAGAATTTTTGTTAGAAAATCAAACGTTCTTAAAAATGAAACCTTTTGAATTTTTGGTGGGGTAAAATCGACATTCGTTCTCGACCAGTGATGAGAAAATTTGAAGAAGCTGGATGGAAAATGTTTCTCTAACAAATTAATATACAACAGTGAATGCACTTTTTGTTCAGGAAACTCCATTCATTCCAAAATTGAATGTTAAAAGCATCATCATCGACTGCAAATGTTCGTGCAAATTATTGTACGAACTTTGGTGAGAATATTGGTCACAGATTGTACTAACAAATCTCACTGCAGTAGTTTTCATTCACTCCCTTAAGGCTGAAATGATATATGATTCCTCAGGGGACTGCAGTACAATCATTTTAGCTTTGTGGTGGCTGTGGCAGTTCTGTAGAACAATTCTTAGTTATACTTTGTGTCTAGTGTACATCAGCAAATATATAAATCTGCTTTGTGTGCACCATTTCTTTGGGAGTCCAAATATCACATTGTAAAAGTTGTGGTGACATAATCAATGTGGTGCACACAGTCTGTGAAGAGAGCAGAGTTGTGAAAAGGGCCCAGTAGGTTCACCCACAATAGGCTGCCTTGCTGAAAAATACCGGGAAGGAGGGGGAGGGGCATTTAAAATACCAGTCACCCTACACAAGGATAGAGAACAGCATCGACCCATCTTTATTACAGGAAGTTTTTCATCAAAGAAGACATTTACAAAGGACACCAAGAATGTTTCTTGCATTTAGACAATCATTTTTTCATCTTTAGCCTAACTTAAGATCACTTTAAGTGTAACCACCTATGCACATTTTAATGTCCTTTGTTTGTTTATTGTAGGCTAATCAAGGGGCACAAAAAGAAGTTAAATATGAACCGTTTGCCTTTCCTGATGGTAAGAACTACAAATAAAGAATTTGGTGACATTACAAGAACAAAGATCAGATGGAAAGTTGGCTTTTTTAACATTTCAGAAGTGCTAGACATGAAATAAACATTACAATGGTAACTTTTAGCAAAGGGCCCATTCAGACTAATACATTACCAAGCAGAAAATATGTTTACATTATACAATAAAAAGATTGACTGGTGAGCAAGGTATGATTTCTTTGGAAAGGTCGGAGACACTAAATCTAAGCAACATTAGTGTACCACTAGAGTCGGCTCTAGAATTTGGGAGATAAACTGTTGTATATAAGAATACTTGTAGAGTTGCCTGAGCTGGATTTGGCTGCTTAGGGTCAATGGGTGGAATTAACAGTGGTGAAGGCATTAAGCCTGCACCACTCTCCTACACTCAGAAAATGAAGCAGATCCTGCTCTTAGTCAACAAAAGGGGAGCACATGATCTGTGTTCTGTGCTGTGTCCACATACAGAGCAAAATAGCTAGAGCTGCTTGCTTCTGAATCCCTCTGACCACCCTACACCTCCCTTCATACCACTCTCTCCTTCAGCTGAAAGAAAGAGGGAGGAGAAAGTATTCATACCCCTTGAAATTTTCCACATTTTGTCATGTGGCAACCAAAAACGTAAATTTATTTTATTGGGATTTTATGTGATAGACCAGGGGTCCTCAAACTTCTTAAACCGGGGGGCAGGTTCACTGTCCTTCAGACCGTTGGAGGGCCGGACTATAGTTTAAAACAACTATAGAAAAACAAAAAAAAACTATGAACAAATGCAGACACAGTACAGGAGATGACCAGAGACTGCGGACATACAACGGCGGTGGGAATACTGGGCCGGCCGCTCCATAAGAATCCCAATAAAATACATTTATGTTTTTGGTTGTAACATGACAAAATGTGGAAAATTTCAAGGGGTATGAATACTTTTTCAGGGCAATGTAGCTTTATTAATTAGTTTTGTATAATAAGTGTTGAGGACAATTGGTGTATTTACACACATGGTGGATGATAGCACTGTTTGTATCCTAATATAAGAATTTATGTAATTGAGGCTGTCAGTGCTTTAAAGGGGCAGTCTGGTATGGTGCGCACCTATGCATGCTTGATCGCTATTTTCACTCTGGTTCCCTGCTCAGAAACCCCCTCGGGCTGTTAGCCTACCTCACAGCCACAGCCTGCATGAGACAATCTGATTTGCCCCTTTGTGCTTCCTGAGGGATTTCTTAGGGGGCTCTTTGTGTCTCAATCCAATATTGCTACATGGATCTGTCCAGTTGTGGTTCAGGCCTATTCCGCCAAGGATAGGTTTCATTCTTTCCAGTGATGGTTCATTCTACCAGGTCTGTCAATGCATCCTGGGTTTTTCAGCATCAGGCTTCAAGTGATACACTTTTTTTTTTTTTAACAACACATCCTACTTACCTGCTCTCTGCAGTGGTTTTGTAAAGAGCAGCCCTGATCCTCCTCTTCTCGGTTTCCCCAGGCGCTCCTTGCCCATCCCTCCTGCCGGGTGCCAGAGTAGCAAGCAGCTTGCTATGGGGGCACCCACTGCTTCTTGGGTCCGTCCACACATGGAGCCGTGGCTCAGCCCCCCCCCCCCCTCCTCATTGGCTCACTGGCTGTGATTGACAGCAGCTGTCTCAGCCATTGAAGATAGCCGAGACTCCAGTGCACATCGCTGGATCAAGAGGGGGCTTAGGCGAGTATTAGGGGGGCTGGGGGCACTGCTGCACAGAGAAGGTTTTTTACCTTCATGCAAAGAATGCATGAAGGTAAAAAACCTGGAGCCTTTATAACCACTTTTAAATTTCTAAGACTGCCACCTAGTCTTCAGGTTGCAAGTTTACCAAGTTTTACCAGGTGGATGTTCAGGCCTTTGTTTACACTCTCTTTAGTTGCAAGGTGCTTCAAACTGCTGTTTGAGTTGGATCTTGGGCCTGTTGGCGTTGTTTTGTTTTCATTTTTCCCTCCACTCATGGGTATTTCTTTGGGACATTCAGATTATCTCTAAATCTGTCTGTGTTCTGCACTGTATGAACAGGAAAATGAGATTTTTGACTTACTGGTAAAATGATTCCTGGAATTACAGTACAGTACAGTACAAAGGCCACCATTCCATCTGTGTTCTCTTACTGCTTGCTAAAGGAACTGAGGCTTGCTGGGAGCAGGAGGGGTTATATTGGGCTCCTTGCAATTTATTTTCCAGTGTCAACCATCAGACAGTACCTGCCTAAACTTTTTTTTTTTCTTTTTAAATCCTCCCAATGAGTGTGAGCGGCCAACCCCACAAGTACAAATACAGCAGTTTATCTCCAAACGCCAGAGCTGGCTCTAGTGGTACACTAATGTTGGTAAGATTTAGGGTTTTACCTGTAAAACACTTTTCTTGGAGTACATCACAGGACACAGAGATCCCTCCCCTCCTGGTTGTTCCTCATTGCTTGCTACAAAACTGAGGCTTGGCGGAGCTGTGAAGGTGAGGAGGTGGGGGATTCCTGTGGTGGTGTGTTTTTTTTTTTTTTTTTTTTTTTGCCCAATGTCCAGTCACCTGAAGGTGACAGCATAGCAAGTAGTCATGAATAAGAACTCCTGTATCCTTTGGTGTTCTCAAAGAAAATGGACGTAACAGGTATATTTTTTAATAACCGTTTTGGGGCTCTGAAGGTCTGCAGCATCAAAGTTTAATCATGAATTCATTATTCTGCCCTGCTGCATAATGATGCAGACAAAGCAACTGTAGCTATGTTTTGGGAGAAGAGCAAGAGACCCTGCTGGAACAGAAAAATTTGGAAATGCATCCAGCTCCTAGTTTCCTGTTGTGGCTGGCAAAAAAAGCATATTTTCTAGATTAAAACAGTGTCTGCCCTCCCAGCTTTCTCTTGGTATACTACAGAATCCCCTTCCACTCTCCAACACGGGGAGACTAGGTTTTGTAGTCCAAGATAACTTGCAGTATGCCTTGTAACCATTTAAAGGTGACAGTTGGCAGGCCACATTTTGAAGCCAAACTAAATGTTCTTGGTGATGGTTATGTTCTTGGTAGATGGGGAAGAAAATGATCAAATGACTGTTTTCCTTCTGTTTTGTAGATGTTGGGTCTAATAATTGTGGTTACTATGAACTGCAGGCAGTTCTTACACACCAGGGGAGATCAAGTTCATCGGGACACTATGTTTCATGGGTTAAAAGGAAACAAGGTAACTTTTCCTGCAGCTGTTTAATCTCTCCTTTTTAGGGCACATACTCCTTTTGTTTTGTTTGTTGACCATGATGTAACCATGTGATATTCATACATGTATGATTTGTCAACCATACTAAAAATACCATGCCTTTATCAGGTATGTTGTATAGTTGGGTAGCTGCATGCTGTCTCAATTAAAAACTTCAGATTTGGGCCAGGTCTACATAGTTTTTCATTAGCTTAAATTTTATTCCTAGGTTCTTTGTGCTTTTCTGTACAATGCAGGCAGCTCATGACTGGTGGGCAGGAACCAGCAGGGTGCTGTACATACATTCCTGAAAACATCACAGCACCCTGCCTCAGTACTCCCAAGCCTTGTTGCAAGCAGTGGGCTGACATTTTTGAATTATGCAAATATCAAAATGCCTTGAAGGAATTTGAATTTGGAGGTCTGGATGTTCCTAAGCAGACTGCATTTGCATGCAGACTGCCCTAGGTAACACCCTCGTGTGATGTTGATTCACGATTGAAAGAATTTCAGTTGATTTTTAATTTCATCCAGTGAATGAAAGGGTCGGGCCAGGGACCATTCAGCTAGAGAGGAAAGGGTATCCTCCAACTAGAAAATTAGGCGGATCCTATATGATTTGCTGCAGCTTCTAATGTAAACTGTGAGACGCTTACAGTGTGCAGTGAAATCAGACTAAGCAATTTCAGTACAGGAGAGGAGCCTGTGCAAGACTGAATGTTAGGTTGGAGTTCAGCTTTAAAGGGCTTTGTATACAGGATGCAGAAGCACTTGTAGCACCCCTGTAAGCTGTCTGCCATCTGTTCTTACATCTCAATAAATCTATACAAATTAATGAGGACCACAGCAGCATGTCCTATTTGTACTGCAGTCTGCATTCATTTTTACACCACATATGACCAGCACTTACGCCTGTATGCACTAGATTACTGAGCCTCCGATGACAACACATGCAAGGCTCCTCCTATATTGATGCCTATGTCTGTAATGTCAAAGCAAATTCCTTCCTGAGCAGTGATAGTAGCTCAATAAATGTATATGCATCTTCTGCAGAAATGTCATTTAGGTGGCAAGTATTTTAAAGAAGCTGTGTTTCTTGTCTAACACACTTTATCTGCTTCTCTCTTTTTAGATGAATGGATTAAGTTTGATGATGACAAAGTGAGCATTGTCTCTCCTGAAGATATACTAAGGCTGTCAGGAGGTGGAGACTGGCATATAGCTTATGTTCTACTTTATGGACCCCGACAAATCGAAGCTTCCGAGGAGACCGAACAATAATGACATTTTGCTGTTTTAGTCATTTTTTTTTTCTTCTTAGGTGTGAAATAAATGTTCCACAGCTAGAATTTCCTGCCCCTGAACTTTTTGTTTTAGACAAGGATTTGAATTGTATAGTTCAATTCACCATGTCCTGAAAGCTTGAGAATCCACATCATTTCTACTGAGAAATTGTGTCAAGTTAAAATGTTTTCTTACTAAGTCTTAAAAGAATTTTTAAATTGGAATCTGACAATGCCAAATGGCCTGCCACTGCACAGTGGTGCTAAAACTTTTTTTTTTCTCTTTTTTTACTGTCAATGTCTGGAACAGAGGCCAAAAATATTTATTGCACACCTACAACTCATCCATTGTTACTGTTGCATGGTTTATACCACAGTACTTACCATCCTTGCCTTATCTGACAAAACTGCCAGGAAGGAGAAAAGGATATGTGTTGCCTCATTGTAACAGTGCTGCTTCCCATGACTGACAACGTGGCCACACTCGCATCTCTGTCCAGCCTCATCTGACTTTCTGGTCCAGGTTGTTGCTGGCATCTCAGTGACTTCAGAATAAAATTGTGATCAATCCCCTGTCTCCAATTACCTTTTATTTGAATACCTCTGTCTGTTCTAGTGAATGGAGTATTTACATCTAGCATAAAAGAAACCGTTACTGATGCTGCCAGATTATCAAATTGAAGCCTGATCAGCAACATGGCTCTCATTTCAGACAATAATTAATACAGAATGTTTTGGCTTTCCAAATAGACATTTAATTAAATTATTATAATACAGTTTAAAAATTTCAGAAGTAGCGAGCTGCTTTAGTATTGGAATTAAAGTTCACATACATAAAACAAAATTTCAGTTGTGCCCATTGAGGGATACAGGAAGTCTGAACCTTTTGCGTTATACTGCTGCTTACCGGATGGTTGGACACTTGCAAACAAAAAAAAACTGTAGACCAGCCCAGGATAACCCCAATACCAGCATGCTCCAGTTTTTTTGCTAAAATTCTAGAAGGATGGATGCCTTTCTACAAGCCCTGATGTGTAAAAAAAAAAAAAAAAAAAAAAAAAAAAAAAAAACCCTTAATAAAAACTTTTTGCTAGCGCATTTTTTTTTTTTTTTCTGTAGTGTCCAATCTTAACAGAGTGCCTACTATTCTGTTAGAGTATGCGCCTCTTTTTAAGTATAACTAAAGACAAAACTTTTTTCAGTTTTGGAAAGTGTAGATGGATTAGAACACTTGTCAGTTTTTTTTTTTTTATTGCGGTCTGTGCCCTCGTTAGGGAGATTCACCCTATTTGTCTTGTTTACCATTATCATTGAAAGTAAAAGAAAATTGCAAATTTTTAGTTGCCCCCAGAAATGTAATAGAGGGGAAATCTTCCAATAGGGACACTAATTCTGGTGACCTATGGGACAGGGAAATCTCCGCTATAGGACACAGAGTAAGGGAGGGTATAACCCCCTGTTTTTTTTTTTTTTTTTTATTTTTCTCTCCATCTGTTCAAAATGTAAAAAAAAAAGTTTTGCCTATAGTTCTGCTTTAGGAAGTGAACTGCTAAGTGGTTGGAAGCCCTAGCTAGAGCTCTGTTCTCACTGGTGGGAACTGTCCTTTATCTGATTCTGCTCTGGCCCTACCATATCTGACTGATAAAAATATCTTCAGATCTAAGTGCTGCAGAAGTTGACTCCTCACTTCATAGAATGTATGGAGAAGATTGCTGTAGTGTTAAAATTCAGTTGTGACAGTTTGCTAGAAGTCTCCTGTTTTTATTTCTGGCGTGTGTGTCAAATCCTGTTCATAGGGCTAAAATGCTGGACTGCAGGACACTTGTGTAAAAAGCATCTATGGACCAGATTTTGACATCCTCCTTAGGAATGCTGCTGGGGGCAAGAGTGCTATGATTTTCTTTTTTTATTTACAGTCTCTAAAAAATTTTCTTCTTCCAGGAATGCACACCTGAGATGAGAGGCTCCTCCCTACAGGAATATCTCTCTTGCATGCTTTGCCCTTGGGATGGAGACAAATATACCAGAAAAAAAAAAAGGTTGGTCCCACAAAGGGAGCCTTTACAAAATCTTTTGTCTGGACAGAGTAGCGTTAAGTAGGATCTCTGTTTCCCCAAAGTAGTGTCCTTGTTTCACATAACTACCCCTTTACTCCTAAGACGTGGTTACAGGCAGAAAAGGCCATGATTGCTAGATGGTTTAGACAGCTGACCTCTCTAACCTACAAAATTAGTTTTTTTTCTGATTACATCAGCTTTAAGAGTAAGAGCACACTCCACTAGATCTGGCATCTGGGTGGAGAAGGCAGGACATCAGTGGAGCAGATTGGCAGATCAGCCATAAGATACAGCCAAGATACTTTCATCACCTGTTACATAGTGAAGGTACACTCAAAGCAGGACCTTGCATTGCCTAGAGGATCTTGCAGGCATTGGTCCCATCCTATGGTAGGCCTGCGGTTACTCGATTATCCTCTCAGGTGTGCCATCCTGGAAGATGATAGGAGAAAACCAACAATTTGATTTGCTGGTAATGGGATTTCTGGGAACCTTCCAGGACAGCAGGCCTACTTTCCACCATGTTAAGTGGGGGAAAAACTCCTAAAACAGTAAGTGGTATCTATGTGGAGTTATTTGCTTTGTGGACCGATTTCCAGAGTTACTTTACTACAAACTGAGGGTCAAGGGGAAGGGTGGGGACTTATAACAGCTGTCAATTGATTGTGTTTCCTGTAGGGAGGAGCCTTTCATCTGTCAGGTGTGCCGTCCTGGAAAGTTTCCAGAAATACCATTATCGGTCTAATGATTGGTTGGTTTATCACTTTTATTGCTGTCACAGGGAATGTAAACATTTCCTTGTGACAACAATCAGCAGTGACAGGTTCTCTTTACTGAGACATCTGGGGTCTATTAGACCCTAGATGTCTCCTCTGCCCTTAAAGCAGGACTATATTCGGCTCCGGTGTCCTGCTGCTCCCTTCCCAGCCGCTGACATCCAGATCTGACAGCGCCTGCATGGGGATGTCACTCCCGCACACGCGGGAGTTCAGTAAGATTTTGGCATTGCCGAATTTGGACAGTGAGCTGCGCATGCTACAGTAGTTCCTTTTGCTACGGTAGGGCAGAGTAGATAGGTCAACACCAAGTACGTTGTGATTGTTTTGGGTTATTGGGCTCTTAGCAAGGCTTTTCTACTCTCTTTATTTTTTTTTTTTTAAAACCACTTGCCAACCGCGCTATAGCCGAACGACAGCTACAGTGCAGTTGTCCAGTTCGGCGAGAGGGTGTCATATGACGTCCTCTTAGAATGCGATCCCTGTCTCCTATGAACACGGCTGATCACATGATGTGGTAAAAGGCCAAGCACAGCACCCGTCTATGGTCTGCATTAAAGAGGAGTTTCAGGTTTAGATATGCTTTCTCACGCTATAATTGCCTAGCCCTAGTGATTAGAAATATAATCCAGGACCAAGCCGAATACATTTTGATAGCCCTATGATTAGTCTCTGGCAGTTGGTTCTCCCTGGATTCTACAGAATTGTCCAAATTTATTATCACAGAGACCAGTGTTTCATCTGAATTCTTGGCCTTTCTGTCTAATGTCCTGGAGGGTGAGAGGAGGAGTCTCAAGAAAAAAGGATGTGCAGAAAGGGGGGTTTATATCCTCCTTAATCCATGTTTAACGCCTGTCTGGAGTTAATCCCATTATGGCTATTGCTCAGTACCTTAAGGTGCAGTTGGTGACCCTTTTGGACTTCTCCAAAGATTAGATTGACAAAGATCTATTCAACTTCTACTCTTGTATAGTGGTCCCAGCTGTGGCTTATTGACTCCTTGAGGACCATGGCTTGATGGATTAAAGATACCATTTTAGCATTCATTAGTTCTGTTCTGGTTTTACCTGCTACAATTAGAGCTCACTCATCAAGGTTGGTGGCTACATGAGAAGAAATCTGAGACTGCAGTATGGTCCTCAAGACTGGGAAGTGCTACCATTTGGAAATGTCCAGCCAGAGTTTTAGAAGAAAGGTGTTGCATGCATTAACTCCACCAAGGTATGTTTACTAGTGTATCCTCTCAAATAGCTGTCCTGTAAGATGATTTGGGAAAAACCATGGTTACACTTAATGGCCTCAGTATTTCTGAGGCTCTTCAGGGACAGATTCTATATTCCCACCCAGATGTTTTTGTTTTAAAAGGGATGATGTTTGAAATTGTAGCATTTTTACCCTAAAAATTCCCCTTGCATACATTAGTTCTTTGCTTATAAAAACTGAAGGGGAGGGCTTCATAATCTATTTCTGCTTGTAAAATTATGGGAGCTGAGCCAATCATCTCAAGTAGCTGTCCTGAAAGATTCTCATGAATATTGTTACTTGTAAGTATCAGGTGGTTTTTTTTTCCCCTCCACTTACTTGACCTCCACGTCCTGGAGGTTCACTCCTCACACCTGCCTGTATTACTACACATATCAACAAATCTCAATCAAGCTCTCTTTGTTCTGGATTAAGGTGTCATCACCCAAGTTCCTGTGGCAGAACAGTTCCAGGAGTTTTACCTTTTCAGCAATCCGAAGCCCCGAAATGGCCTTCACCCCATTCTGGATCTCAAAGCTCTGTGTTCTAAAATTCTGCATGGACTCTACCAAATACATTATCACCTCCCTTCACCAAGGAGACTTCTATATATATCAAACTCACATATTTACCAATTGCATCACCAATTTATTACCACTGTGCTCTGGCAGAAGATGTCATGATCTCAAAAAAAAAAAACAAAAAACCCTGTCTTCATTTTCTAAAAATTACAACTTCAATAATCTTGCCATGCGCATTACTAAATACTTTGGACCGTTTGCTTTCCAAAAAGGGTCATTTGGGGTATATAGGTACTGTCCTGGCATTTTGGGAACTCCGTCAGTACTGAGGCCTCAAAATGCAGTGCTGTGTCCTAGCAACCAATCACTGAGGCAGTTCCCACCCCCACCCGCACTATGCTACCTCTCACTCTCTGTTCTGCAGACATGAGAGCAGCAGGGGGGGGGGGGGGCAGAGCCATGATCGTGGTCAACCTGCCGGCTCCTGGCAGTCGATAGCTTGCCGACCCGAAGTGTATATTAACCATGTCTCAAAGTGAAAGTTTCAGCTACAGTCCGTGCTCATTGGCTATGATCTTTTAACACATTTCATCCTGATTGGTTTAATCATAGTAGTACCTCTACAATTTGGCCCAAAGAAAGTGAGATACATCAGAGGGGCGTGGTCCATGGGCAGGAGTGTAGTGTAGCTGAAGAGTTTACTTTCACTTTGAGACATAGTTGATGCACAGAGTGCTGCCCAGGGCTTTGTATTGCTATGGTGCATGGAACAGGATATGCAATTTAAGACCCTTGGACCACAGAGTGCCTGTGAGACGGTATGCAGGAGGCTGTGAGCAGCACCATTTTGTCCAAGTATAAAATTGAGCCATGCTAGATTCTAGGGGTCTCCAGGTGTTGAGGAAATGCAAGTCCCATGAGGCCTTTGCAAAACTCACAGCCACAGGCAAGACTCCTAGAGGCATGATGGGACTTGTAGTACTTCAACAGCTGGAGGGCCATAAGGTAACAAGCTACCCGTGCCCCTCAATGTACGCCAAAAAAAATTTCACAGCAAGTACAAAAATCCTGTTTTGTAAGTTCGTATACAGGCAAGTTTTGAAGGAAAAACACATTAACCAAGCTAGGCAGTTTTTTTTTTTTTTTTTATTATTATTATATTACATGTTCATACAAACGTATCACAAAAAAATGTTTCCAACTAAAAAGTCTTGCATGCTGGTAGCAAGGAAAAGGCATTGCACAGCAATGTGTTACATGACAGTGGTACCAGCTAGGAAATGCGATAAAATACCTGACTCCTACAAAGTATATTTCCCTTGCTAGATCATGTGCAATTTTCTGCATCACTGGCTAGGTTTTCTGCCAGTTCATTTAAATGAGCCTGATTCAAAGCGGAAATAAGATTCTCAGTGGTAGCACGAGCTCCTTCCCGATCTTGCCAGGCGACCAGTAACAATTTTGCCCTCATTTTAACATCTTCACTATCCGATTCAATAACCTTAATGTCTGAGTCTTTTATTTCTAAGTAAGGGGCCAGTGTTTTCCAGTGCTCTCCAAGCTTGCTGGCAAGTGCTTCTATCAGCTCCCCAGAGACTGGATTCTGTTGCTGGACTTCTGGACCTGCAAATTAGTTCAGAGTACACATTTTTGCATCAAAAGGTTTCATACGTACCTAAACATCACCAAAAAAGCGATATAAAAATAAATGAATCATTAAATGAATAAGTTAATACAGTGAGGAACAGAAGTATTTGACACCCTGCGATTTTGCAAGTTCTCCCATTTAGAAATCATGAAGGGGTCTGAAATTCACATTGTAGGTGCATTCCCACTCTGACAGAATTTAAAAATCATACAATGTGATTTCATGAATTTTTTTAAAAGAATTTATTTGTATTGCACTGCTGAACATAAGTATTTGAACACCTGAGAAAATCAGTGTTTGTATTTGCAAACAAAGGCTTCTGTACCAAATATTGAGGTCAAACGTTTCCTGTAGTTCTTGACCAGGTTTGCACACACTGCAACAGGGATTTTGGCCCACTCCACACAGATCTCCTCTAGATCTGTCAGGTTTCGGGGCTGTCGCTGAGCAACACGGAGTTTCAGCTCCCTCCAAAGATGTTCTATTGGATTTAGGTCTGGAGACTGGCTAGGCCACTCCAGAACCTTGATATGCTTCTTACGGAGCCACTCCTTGTTTATCCTGGCTGTGTGCTTCGGGTCGTTGCCATGTTGGAAGACCCAGCCACGACCCATCTTCAATGCTCTGACTGAGGGAAGGAGGTTGTTGCTCAAAATCACACAATAAATGGCCCAATTCATCCTCTCCTTAATACAGTGCAGTCGCCCTGTTCCCTTCGCAGAAAAGCACCCCCAAAGCATGATGTTACCACCCCCATGCTTCACAGTAGGGATGGTGTTCTTGGGATGCAACTCATCCTTCTTTTTCCTCCAAACACGATGAGTGAAGTTTAGACCTAAAAGTTCTACTTTGGGCTCATCTGACCACATGACTTTCTTCCATGCCTCCTCTGGATCATCCAGATGGTCATTGGCAAACTTCAGACGGGCCTGGACATGTGATGACTTGAGCAGGGGAACCTTCTGTGCAATGCATGATTTGAAACCATGACGGCTTAGTGTTCTACCGACAATGACCATTGAAACTGTGGTCCCAGCTCTCTTCATGTCATTGACCAGCTCCTCCCTTGTAGTTCTGGGCTGATTCCTCACCTTTCTTATCATCAGTGATACCCCACGAGGTGAGATCTTGCATGGGAGCCCCAGTCCGAGGGAAACTGACAGTCATCTTTAGCCTCTTCCATTTTCTAACAATTGCTCCAACAGTTGATCTGTTTTCACCAAGCTACTTGGCAATTGCCCCGTAGCCCTTTCCAGCCTTGTGTAGGTCCACAATTTTGTCTCTGGTGTCTTTTGACAGCTCTTTAGTCTTGCCCATGGTAGTAGTTGGCGTCTGACTGACTGTGGGGTGGACAGGTGTCTTTAAAGAGCTCAGACAGGTGCTACTAAGTAAGATTAATGAGTGGAGTAGAGGTGAACTTTTTAAAGGCACAGGAACAGGTCTTTGAGAGCCAGAATTCTTGCTGTTTCTTAGGTGTTCAAATACTTATATTCAGCAGTGCAAGACAAATAAATTCTTTAAAAATCATACAATGTGATTTCCTGAAATAGTTTTTTTAAATTCTGTCTCTCAGAGTGGGAATGCACCTACAATGTGAATTTCAGACCCCTCCATGATTTCTAAGTGGCAGAACTTGCAAAATCGCAGGGTGTTCAAATACTTCTGTTCCTCACTGTAGATTAACTTGTGCAGCTATGTATAGGGACGATAAGGTGACAGCTATATGGAATATGTTTTAACACGGCAGCAACTTGGTTGCTTTTAAAGTGTAATTCCAGTCAAAACCTACCTAAAGTAAAACTACTCTTACCCCCATTCTAAGCCTATTCTATCTACCCTGTAGAAGGAAAGAAGTCTGTAATCACAATAGTCACATCATTGATTCCCAGTGCCAGCTTCAATGTCCACTGCCACACAGTAAACCTGTTGGTGATGTCATCGTCCAGGTTTGCAGTCGATGTTGCTGATCTCTCTTCTACACTGAAATCGGATCTGGTGAATGTGACTGGATCAGAGCGCCTTAAGGATAGACAGCTTTCCTTTTACACGGCAGATAAACTAGGCTTAGGATGAAGGTGGGAGTAGATTCAATCATAGTTAGGTTTTGATTGGAAATACATTCAATTGACAGGTCTGAAAGTTCATTCTGCATCTTCAAATAAACATAGCATAGAATAAACAATAGGTCTCAAACAAAACAGGCTGAACATAGCCATCTTTAACAGGTGCACTCCAGCCAAACATGACAAATCAGTTATCCAGAACAAGCAAACAGCCCATGACATAGGAAATAATGAACTCAATACTTTCCCTGGGTCAGGGATTCACTACGTAGTTAAAGTGGTTCTAAAGTCAAAAGTTTACCTTAATGCATTCCCTGCATGAAGGTAAAAATGTCCTACTAACTGGTCCCCTCCCATTGCTAAACACTTACCCTACAACCCGGCTTACTAAAGGGGCACTCGGAGAAAGAGTAAGCAGATAGCATCAGCAGGGGACTGCTAAAGAGGCGGTATGGGTCTGTTCTAAGTAATATTGTTGTATAGAACAGACAAGCAAAACCTTTTTTATTATAAAAATAGCCTCTAATACAGGGGTGTCAAACTGGCGGCCCTCCAGCTGTTGCGAAACTACAAGTCCCATCATACCTCTGCCTTTGGGAGTCATGCTTGTAACGGTCAATCTTGCAACGCCTCGTGGGACTTGTAGTTTGGCAACAGTTGGAGGGCCACCAGTTTTGAACACCCATGCTCTAATATCACTTTAGGGCCAAACATAATGACTGGATTCCATACCATTAAAATGAGCAACAACAGCAGTTTCTAGTATTCTGTCCTGACAAGTTCTTTTTAAACCTACTCCATAGCCATAACCTTCAAACGGGCCAAATTAACCTGGATGACTGCAGGGTAGTGTCTAGTCCAATTCAGGCACTGGCCTGTCTATGAGCATACTGCAGGCTCATCTAAATGCACACACTGTAACAAAAGGAAAAGTCTGCACTGAATCAGGGGCTTGGCTTTACTAGAATATACAAAGTTCCAAGGCCAACTGTGTGGGTTTTCTGATTTATAGGAAAGTTTTTTTTCTGGATGGCACTGACAGTTCGTGGATTGATATTTCTTTTTACCTGAAGTTGGTATTTAACCGTTTCCGAGCCACCCTATAGGGCTACAGGGCGGCATGGGTGCGCAAAATCATGCATATACAGTCAGGTCCATAAATATTGGGAAATCGACACAATTCTAACATTTTTGGCTCTATACACCACCACAATGGATTTGAAATGAAACAAACAAGATGTGCTTTAACTGCAGACTGTCAGCTTTAATTTGAGGGTATTTACATCCAAATCAGGTGAACGGTGTAGGAATTACAACAGTTTGCATATGTGCCTCCCACTTGTTAAGGGACCAAAAGTAATGGGACAATAGGCTTCTCAGCTGTTCCATGGCCAGGTGTGTGTTATTCCCTCATTATCCCAATTACAATGAGCAGATAAAAGGTCCAGAGTTCATTTCAAGTGTGCTATGTGCATTTGGAATCTGTTGCTGTCAACTCTCAAGATGAGATCCAGAGAGCTGTCACTATCAGTGAAGCAAGCCATCATTAGGCTGAAAAAACAAAACGAACCCATCAGAGAGATAGCAAAAACATTAGGTGTGGCCAAAACAACTGTTTGGAACATTCTTAAAAGGAAGGAACGCACCGGTGAGCTCAGCAACACCAAACGACCCGGAAGACCACGGAAAACAACTGTGGTGGATGAATGAAGAATTCTTTCCCTGGTGAAGAAAACACCCTTCACAACAGTTGGCCAGATCAAGAACACTCTCCAGGAGGTAGGTGTATGTGTGTCAAAGTCAACAATCAAGAGAAGACTTCACCAGAGTGAATACAGAGGGTTCACCACAAGATGTAAACCATTGGTGAGCCTCAAAAACAGGAAGACCAGATTAGAGTTTGCCAAACGACATCTAAAAAAGCCTTCACAGTTCTGGAACAACATCCTATGGACAGATGAGACAAATACACCTGATCAGTGAAGCATGGTGGTGCTAGTGTCATGGCGTGGGCAATGGAACTGGTTCTCTTGTATTTATTGATGATGTGACTGCTGACAAAAGCAGCAGGATGAATTCTGAAGTGTTTCGGGCAATATTATCTGCTCATATTCAGCCAAATGCTTCAGAACTCATTGGACGTCGCTTCACAGTGCAGATGGACGATGACCCAAAGCATACTGCAAAAGCAACCAAAGAGTTTAAGGGAAAGAAGTAGAATGTTATGCAATGGCCAAGTCAATCACCTGACCTGAATCCGATTGAGCATGCATTTCACTTGCTGAAGACAAAACTGAAGGGAAAATGCCCCAAGAACAAGCAGGAACTGAAGACAGTTGCAGTAGAGGCCTGGCAGAGCATCACCAGGGATGAAACCCAGCGTCTGGTGATGTCTATGCGTTCCAGACTTCAGGCTGTAATTGACTGCAAAGGATTTGCAACCAAGTATTAAAAAGTGAAAGTTTGATTTATGATTATTATTCTGTCCCATTACTTTTGGTCCCTTAACAAGTGGAAGGCACATATGCAAAACTTGTAATTCCTACACCGTTCACCTGATTTGGATGTAAATACCCTCAAATTAAAGCTGACAGTCTGCAGTTAAAGCACATCTTGTTTGTTTCATTTCAAATCCATTGTGGTGGTGTATAGAGCCAAAAATGTTAGCATTGTGTCGATGTCCCAATATTTATGGACCTGACTGTATACGTGATTCGCACTCCCACAGTTTTTGCCATGATTTGATCCCTGAGGGATCAATCATCCGATTTAGGCCAGTGATGGTTAGCCTAAGTCGGATGATCGATCCCTGTCCTATCAGGGATCTTCCTGTACCTGTGTTTACAGTTACACAGGTACAGGAAATGATGACATCTTCTCTCTCTGGGAACATTCCGTCCCAGAGAGAGAAGAATCAAGACACGTGAGTAAAAGGAGCACGCTTCTCACAGTTAGAACACTTCACTGCCCTGTCACCAGTGTCATTAGTACAGTGTACAGATTTTTTGCTCATCACCGCATTAGTGTCAAATAGTGTTAGCGTCCCTCCCAGATAGCGTCAGATTGCCCGTCATTACACCAGTAAATCACATTTAATCCCTTGATTGCCAAGAACAAGCTCACATACACAATAAACCTCCATTGCTTAGTATAGCGTCCCCAAAAACGAAGCGTTAGCGGGATCAGCTGCGGCACCTGCGTTTAGCCCCTGCGCTTACCCCCCCATTTCTCCCCCAGCAAGTGCAGTGCCAGTAGGTCACAGTCACTTGATACATTGAACACAAAACCGCAGTGTTCGCAGAATCAGGCCTGGTCTCTGTTAGCACTTGCCGGTAAATTTTTTTGTAGCAGTTCAAGCAGTCCCTGACAGCCAGGTGCTCTTTTTCCCATGAGCCAAAATGTCAATGGAAAAGTACTCTAGTGAAGAGGCCTACAGGATTCTGAGCATGTCAGATGAGAGCGAAGGGGAAGACTCACTGACACAATCAGCCTCAGAATACGAACCTGTAGACAGCAGTGGCATCCTGACAGGTAGCTCAGATGATGGGGAAGAGGTTACAAATGCATGATGGCTCTCATATAGCAGAGTGCCAGTACTAGTGCTGCTCTAACTTTTGGTGAACTTGCAAGCACCAGCAGCCTAGTACATCCTGGTCTTTCACATACCAGCACTGCAGTAGTGACGTGGCGAGTCCCATAAGTGCAGTACAAGCTGGCTAGCACAAATAGTGTCCTGCAGCCACCATGAATTCACACACAGACCCGTACAGCCACTAGTATCCTTCCGGATGTGCTTGCAAATCCCGACTGGCAGCCCACAAATTCTGCAGCACCCGTACTTCCCCCATTCATTGCCCAACCCAGAATCCAGGTGGAAACAACTAATTTAAATACTCCCCATGATTTTTTGGAGCTGTTTTTCACAATATGCATTGATTGTGGATCAAAGCAATTTATATGCACAACAGTTTATCGCCGCCAACCCAAATTCAAACCTTGCCAGACCATTCGCATGGAAACCCATTACGGTTTCCGAAATTTTACGTTTTTTGGGAATAACCCTCAACATGGCCATTACTAAAAAAAAAAAAAAAAAATAATATTGCGGTTGTATTGGTCCAAAGACCCGATTCATCATATGCCCGTGTTCTCTGATGCCATGGCCAGGCATAGATATGAGAGTATAATGCATTTTATGCTTTTCAATGACAACACATTCTGTTGTCCTTGGGGTGACCCTGAATTTGACCGGCTCCATAAAGTTCAGCCCCTTGTAAATCAACCTTACCAACAATTTGCAGATGTCTATACTCCTCAGCAAAACATCTGCGTTGATGAGTCCCTCATTAATTTTTTTGGCCACCTTGCATTGAAACACTTTCTCCCTGGCAAGCGTGCCAGATATGGGATGAAGATGTATAAAGACCTGTGAGAAGGCAACAGGCTATACAAATAAGTTTTGGATTTACGAGGGAAAAGATAGTCAAGTGGAGCCCCCTGGATGCCCAGACTATGTGGGGAGCAGTGGCAAGACAGTTTGGGACTTGGGGGTCATCCTTTTTCCATATGGGGTACCACTTATATGTGGACAATTTTTATTCAAGCGTGCCGCTATTTAGACATTTGTACAATCTTGGAATTGGCTCATGTGGCACCGTGTGATGTAATCGCCAGGGCTTCCCCCAACGGCTTGTAAATAACAGTCTTAGAAAGGGAGAAAAAGCCTGCTTGAGAAATGAGGAATTGCTCACAGTGAAGTGGAAGGATAAACGGGATGTTTTCGTCCTGTCTTCCATTCACGCAGACACGACCATCCAAATTGCCACTGGTGTTGTTGAGAAGCCCCTCTGTGTCCACGACTATAACCTTAACATGGGAGGAGTGGACTTCAACGACCAGATGATGAAGCCGTACTTAGTTTTCCAAAAAGCCAGACGCTGGTACAAAAAAGTGTCTGTTTATTTCAATTGGTTCTATATAATGCTTTTGTGCTTTACAAAGCAACTGGTCAAAGTGGATCATTCCTAAAATTCCAGGAAGATATCAAGGCCCTTTTGTATCCAGAAGGTGCTGTGCCCAAACCCCCAAACCAGATGCAGTTAGCCGATTGCATGAGAGGCATTTTCCTGATGCCATTCCTGGTACCCCAACCCAAAAGACACCCCAAAGAAGATGTTGTGTCTGTAGCGGACAGCTGACCATAGAGCTGATTGGAGACTGGAATGGTGCCAATCATCTGTATAGTCTTAAGAAATCGGAAGCTACGAGCATTTCATCACTTCAGTTTCGCAGGATATAAACAGCGCCATTTGTAAATAGGGAAATCATCTAAACACAGAGTCTGATATTCCCCAGATTTCTCAAAAAAGAATATATGACAATGCCCATTGAAGTTATAGGGGATATTTGCATTCCCTGTGATAGTATTAAAAGTGATTAAAAAAAATTAAAGGGACAGTGTAAAAATAATGCAATGCTTCCCTGGCTCTTGTAGACAAAAATAATAAATGCACATTTTTTTACCTGCAAAAAAATGTGCATTCATTATTTTTGTCTAAAAGGTGAACTTATCCTTTAATATCACCAATCTCCTCCACTTGTTGCAGACACAGTGTATGCTTCTGAAAAGGTGTTCAAGAATTTTTGAGGGTGAGTTTGTTGATGTGGCTCAGTGTCTCCGATTTATCAACAATCATTAACTATTGGCAATAAATTGTACACTGCAAATGCAGGACACAAAGAACCTTATACAGCAGGGTACAGAGGAAACACCTTTCTGTAACAAACAGGCCCCTAATGATCACTGCTTGCACTTTACTTGCAGGTACGAACAGTCCTAAAAACAAATAGTCATAAAAATGAGCGGTCTGGGATTTGTGAAAGGAGAAGCAATTGCAAGTAGTTAGAAGTAATGCTACACTTACTTTCATTGTTTTCCTTTAATAAAGATTCATTGTCTTCATCATCCTCATCTTCGTCCTCTCCTGTTTTTATTTCCTCTGATGGGGGCTAAAAATAAAACAGACTGAGTAGTATCCATATGGTGAGAGCACAAGTTTTATATAAAAGGTAAAAAAACAAAAATAATTGAATATTTGAAGGCTATTTATTACTTTTACTTATTGTAGCGCGCTTACTTTTCTATTTACCTACTGTGAGTCCTCCTGAACACTGACAATATGTAGCTCCCAGTGTACACTGTACAGGACTGCTGGAACACGGTTCACTGCATTATGAATACAGCTCCACTCAAACAGAGCACAGGCACTCAACATAAAATTTACACTCCGTTAGAATGATCCTTTAGCCGCTTCCCGACCGCCCTATAGCAGAAATACGGCTACAGGGTGGCACAGATGCGCAAAATCACACACATATATATATATTATATATATATATATATATACATACATACATACACACACACGATTTAGCATTTCCGGGTAGGGGCCGTGCGCCCCCCCTACCCATGCACAGCACAGCCATCCAGAGCAGTGTGCTTACAGTGAAGCACCAACACACTGCCCCCTAGTAAAATACTCCCTGCACATAGTTAACTCTTTGATCACCCCTCATGTTAACCACTTCCTGCCCAGTGCCATTAGTACAGTGTCAGTGCTTTTTTTTTTTTTAGCACTGATCACGGTATTGTTCTCACTGATGATGTTAGTGACACCAAGTCAGTTCCCCCCAGTGTCAGAATGTCTGCCGCAGTCCCACTATAAGTAGCTGATCGCCACCATTACTAGTTTTTTTTTTAACAAAGACATGTAGCAGAATATATTTTGGCTTAAATTTATGCCGAAATTTGATTTTTTTAAATTTTTTCTTTACTGGACATGTTTAATAGCAAAAAGTAAAAAATATTGTTTTTTTTCTCTCAAAACTGTTGGTCTTTTTTTTTTTTATGGCGCAAAAAATTAAAAACCGCACAGGCGATCAAATACCACCAAAAGAAAGCTCAATTCGTGGGGGGGGAAAGGACGTAAATTTATTTGGGTGCAGCATTGCATGATCGCACAATTGTCAGTTAAAGTGATGCAGTGCCGTTAATAAAACCCACACAATTCCTGATAAACAATGCATAATAATAAATGGAAATACTCTTACAAGTGTTATTTCACTACAGTGTTCCCCCTATATAAAGTAATCCATGAAAGTAGTTGCAAAATCTGCTAAAAACAAAATGCCAGCCCACGCATTGCTACTGAAAGAAACACTTGTGGACATACAGCTTCCACCTTATACTAAGAATAGAAGAAAAACTGCTTACTGGCAATTCCTTGGCTAACTTAATCACCATATTCTCCAGATATTCTGGTAAACTCCTAAACTGTTGATTGGTAGGTTGGAAAAAGTGAGGACTTCTACGAGCCAATAGTCTCAATGCCCTCCAGCCATAATTTGAGTTGTTCACTACTCTGTGAAAAAAAAAAAAAAAAAAACGTATTAATACAAATCATCAACTGGTGGAATTCAGATATTACATTTACTAAGGTGAATACAGGTAGCAGAAACAGTCCCAGTCACACTCCCTTAAAATCTCTCCACGTATGGAGCTGTGTGAAGCCATATTAAAGGCAGTGTGAAGCCATATTAAAGGCAGGTGAAATAAAAAAAAAATATGAAATTACCATTAGGAGGTCCCAGTATGAAGCCTTATTGATTGTGGAAAAACATCAATGCCAATATTAAAATATATTATGGCAATCATTCAATGTAAATGCTAAAGATCTGTAAAGGCTTTTAAAGCGTCTATGGACAATTTTGGAGACCATAGTTTTTTGCCATTTTGCAGATACACACAATTTTGAAGTTTGACATATCTGGCATCCATTTACTCGACATAACTTCACATTTATATTTTATCACAAATTGGGGGATTTTATTCTATTTGTGTGCACTAAAAATAAGCGGAGTGCATTCTTACTGAAAACATAGATTTGCAACCCCAATTCCCCAAAAACTGGGACGATGTGTAAATTCTACATTCTACATAAAAACTGAATGCAATGATTTGCAAATCCCATAAACCCATATTTGATTCACAATAGAAAACATATCATGTCATTTTGAACTTGATGACAGCAATACGTCTCACAAATATTTATATGGGTTTATGAGATGTGCAAATCATTGCATTGTTTTTTATGTAGATTTTAAAAAGCGTCACAACTTTTTCTTTAAAACTGGAGTTGTAATAAATGGTAGCATAAATATAACACAATTGATTTTTCCCCTCTCTGTACATGCCCTCTATATTACAGTTTATTAGAGAAGTGCCTTTTGGCGCTTCTCTGGTAACACCGTTCAACAAATTTTTATTTTTTGCCAGTTTTGGAAACAAAAGGATCCATTTCTTAATGAATTTCACATTCTGAGTTCAAATATAACAATGAAATTTGTCAATTGGCTCTAGTTTTTCTGTAAACGGAAAGTTTTCTACTATAGGCGTAATGACTACATAATGCACAATAATTATATAGATAGATGTCTTTCCACAAATATAAAGCAAGTGATATTGATTACATAACAAAGCCTAAATGGCATAATATATTGCATAGGATTACCAAGAAAAATTATAGCCATAAGCTAAGTTGAATCATTTTAATACTTAGGATTCTCACTAGTTTTGTCTTCAGTTTGTGTCGGTTTTTGCTTCTCTTGGCTTTTCTCTTGTATTCGAGGAAAGGGCTATCTCTTACAACTGCACGTGACTACACGCTTCAGGTTCTTCCTCACTTGACTCAACCACGAAGGATTCTGGTGCTTTAGGAATTGGTAGCCCCTCTCCATGAGGAACTGGACGTATTGCCGATGGAATATTTGGATAGTGCACAGATAACTTTTTCTTCTTATTTAGCTCTTTTACAATTGGAGGCACCATACAAAAGTAACAATTACTAACATGATCTGTTGGCTCTCTCCAAATCATTGGCACAGCGAAAGGCATAGATGCCTTTTTTCCATTCAACCATTGCTCCAGTGCCGTCCCACAAGAATTGCAGCATATATGTGGTGCCCAGCTCTTGTCCTGGTCTCCTATCTTGCAGCCAAAATACAAGTTGTAGGCTTTCTTAATCATTCCTGTTATCCTCCTTTTTTGTGAGATAAAAGTTATTTCACCGCAGATATAGCAGAAATTATCTGCTTTATTCACACAAGTTCGAGGCATTACTGAGTAGCCTATATAAGCATAAAACGAAATGTAAAGACGCTGTCGAACTACAATCAGCTACAGATACTGCAGCTTTTATGCAGTGAAGTGATGCAATTAAAGGCTAATATTGCATCATCTCAGTATACATGCAATTTTCTATTGGTCACCAGTATCAATTGCGCAATATGCAGCTGAAGTTGCATCATAATTTTGAATGGCTTACGTCATTAGATGGGTGAATATATCATGGAAACTAGAGCCAATCAACATTTTTTAGGGTCATTTTCGTTTTCAGCACCCAAAATTATGTAAGATTAGCTAATTTTATGCCCAAAACTTTTTACCTGTTGAACAGTGTAACCTATTTGTCAGACACGTTGCTATGACAAACTTGCTGTTCTAAGTACTTCCACTGTGCTTCTAAATAGTTTTAACTTTGACAGATTTGTATGATGTATTTTCTCTTTTGTACATTGTCATGAACTTTGTAGAATTTATATCTATTCAATAGTTTGTAAACAATTATTCTACAGGGGCTCATATTTCAGAAAATAAAGTATAATGTAGTAATAATACTAATGCATGAAAAGAAATCCAGGGCTAATACACATTAATGAAACCGAACAGTCCAAGAAAAGAATAGCAGTGATGCGAACTGTCCCAAAGCAAAAAGTGAGTCAGTGAAGAAAATCTTGATCTATCCAATCAGTTGATACCGTGGACACCACGACATCTTTGAGTACACCAAGGTCTGAATATTTTATGGATGCCCTGTATCTGAAGAAACCATTAAGCCTGCAGGTCATCATTAATACTATGGCACAACTTTAACCCTGCAAGCTGCATCTGCTAATCGGACATCATACATTACAATACAGTACCTCCCTGCTACCAGTCAAAGTAGCAATCCTGTTCTGTAGAATCCCACTGTGATTACAAATACATTCCACAATGCCTCCATATCCTACCACCCAGTTTAATGCAATGTGTTTTAGTGACCATTTGTCTTCAACATACTTGTATTCGTTTTCTACCATGTTTTCAGGATCTGCCTGTTCAATGGCCTCTTCAAAAAACTGTTCCAGCGTTGGCATAAACTCTCTAAAACACAATGGAAAACACTGTTAATAATGAGGATTTAAAATCGGGCTACGACAGGTATGACTGTCTCCATTCAAGGAATGTCCTCTTTGCTCCACAATGTTAAAGTGACACTAAACTCTGCTTTAAAAAGAATTCTATTCATGGACATGGGACTATGGATAAGAGACCTGCAGTGTGCATAAAGCAATGCACATGACCACAACTAATGTGCACTGCCCATTACAAAAGAATGGAAGTGAGAGGGAAAAGGAGAGGTTCTGGAGGACGTTACAAACACAATTAGAAATTATTTCATGAAAAATATATTACAGGACCATTAAACAGTGAATATGTATGGATTATTGTTGGAGAATACGGGGATCGGTTAGTGTCACTTTTTTTTTACCCAACCCAAACCATTTTACAGCTTTCTTACTGCCCTACCACTAATCTAACATGTACTGTCAAACTGTAAAATATTTACCCAACAGTCCCAGGCTCTCTTCGGCCACTTGCCCACATTCACAGCTAGGGGACACATGCACACTTTTAAGGTGCAGGATCTGAGTTCAGGCAAAACTATTGTATGGCTAGTTCTGCTTAAACATCCCCCTTTGACAGAGTGCTCTGCCACTTGTTCCACCAGGCAAACTCATAGCTGTTCTTCACATTAGACCAGGAGAAAAAAAAAAAAAAAAAAAAACACACAAACATCTTAGGATTTGGTCCAGCTTTAAACTTGCCCCCATAAGGAATCACCTTCTTCCCATTCCATGTACCTACCATTTAACACCCCCCCCCCCCCCCGCCCCCTTTGCCCGAGGAAACACAGTGTTCCTCAACATCAATTCCTGACTTAAATATGATCACCTGTATCCACCCAAATCCCAAGCTGCTAATATAGACTATATAATACATATCATATGGTCTTTACTACTGCTTTAAAGGTTTAAATAAATATAATCAGATGCTACACACTGCGTTACAGTAATATATCACAAACATTTCCGGGCTTACCTGCTTTCTGATTTGCATGCCTCTATGTTGTCTGGACAAAGATTCCACAGTCGGGTTAATTCATCACTGTAATGATATGCTCTGGTCAGAAGTGGTTAATTAATTCCCATTTATAATATTACTGCTAGTTTGCTAGCAATGTGGGATAACAGAATAAGACTTCCTAGCATAATTATGAAATAATCACCTAGTCTTCTCAACACCATCACTTACTGATGCCCCTTCTCATTGTACAGAAAAAAAACTGCCCTAGATATTAGCAGATTTTATCAAGTGACAGCATGAGTAATTTATAGACCAACCAGAGAATTTAAATGGTTAAAGAGATCTATATACATGACTAGATCAATAGGAGGGGAAAGACAGGATAAGACGAAATTGGACAGAGGTGTTTTGGGAAGGAAATGGGGATAAAGTGTACGTATATGACGTAATAAGAGTTTATGGATGTTTTGTAATGTATTTTTTTTTTTTAAAGAAAATCTAATAAAAAAGGTATAAAAAAAAAAAAAAGAAGAAAAATAAAAAGTAATTTAAAGACCAAAATTCTTCAAACACATAATAGGGATACCCTTGAAAGCCTTCGTATGTAGCAAATGAGACCTATATATAAGAATACCCACTAGGGTGCCACTAGGTGACAGGTTAAATTTTGTGTTTGTATATAAAGATGTGAGAATCAGGGATCTTACTTTCCCATTAAGATCTTTTTATTTGAACCTTTGCCCAGAAACTCCTCAGGGGCTGGACGTTTTTTGCTAGTTTCAGTGGTTTGCTGTCTTGTTGTCTGCATTAAAAAGAAAACATATGGTCAAAAACTCAATTTTCAGGTTTTCTTTGTGTGTTTAAATTTTTTTCTAACACATCATTATGTCTGACCAATCATGGGCTATTTTGTGGCACTGTACCCCCTACATACATAAAAACAAAGATATGCCTGTGCTCAGCACTTTGATGCAGTTGGCCAGCTTAAACATGTATTGTAATATGTGTGAACTAAATATTCCTATTCTTTATTGCAAAGTCTGCTGGAAAGGGAATACAAGTGTGCAGAGGGTCCTTCAGAATTTCTAACCCTACATACATAGAAGACCAAAATGCTAACATTATATATACTTCATTATTTATTCACAATGCTTGTTAAAATATACATGCTATGTCCTAGCCAGGAACATATCATGTACAGTATATTACAATTTACACCCTGAGTAGGCTTTCCACAGGTGTATAAAAAACTTGCTGTATACAGTATGCATATTAGTAGTTCAGAGGTTCACCTTTCTTGACACCAACAGGAGTCTTTCTCAAAGCCTTCACACATACAGCTTCTTTAGAAGAACAGGGTTAGGAAATGTATTTTTTATTGTCTTTGTTGACCATTCACATTGCTGACCATTTATATGATTCAGGGTGTGCCCCACACCCCCTCCAGAGGGGAGGGAAAGGCTCTCTGGTAATAACTTTGTGGGAAATGTGATCAGTGGGCATGTGACTCTCAAATATTAATGTTATGACCCTTCCAGTGTGTCCTATTTTGACCTCTTCTATAGGTTTCTCTAACATTCATTTGAATGTCTATTATGCAAATAGAGCAGTGCTCTTATCTCTTTACCACACTTTCTCTGTGAGTACATGGCACTCCAATATTACTAGGGATACAAAGGCTGCTCTTGCACAGAATAGGGCACTATGCACACCAATGTTGGCCAACTTCAGTAGTCCCCAAAACTGAAGGTGAGATTCTGCAGTATACAAAACTATATACATCAAAATGCTTGTGCACAAAAAAAAAAAAACTGAAAGCAAAAATAAGTAAATAAGTAATGTAGTGAAAACAGAGCAATAACACATACACATAAAAGCAATGTATTACCTCTCTTTCACGAAACTTGGGCAGCCTTCATTTTTCCATGAATTCCAGTTCTCCTCTGTGTTTAGTATGTGCTAAATAAAAGGTTTCAGAAGGTAAGTTTAATATTGTGATCATTCTGCATCCACCACAATAGTACTATGTGATATGGCATACCTCCACCATTTTTGAAAACTTCTCTCCATCAGGGGGAATCTCACATAGTAACTACAATAAGGAAAACAAATTAGACCATTTTGGTCTTTCACAATAAAGGTGAGCACAGCAGTAACAGTCTTCCACTATGTACCTGATGAACAAGCTTGGTGGTATCTTCAATCCAAAGAGACTGCTCATCTAGCAGCACATAGTTAGAGCTGAGATACAAAAGAAATTGCATGTGATAAGCAAGATATCAGGAACATATAAAAATTAGGATAAAGTGAATACAGACACACATAAAAACTGAACACAGGACTTTAAAAGTACATATACTGCGGGAAGGTGGCCTAGGCAAGCTAAGCAACATGAGCACTGACATGCCGCTCCCACAACCACTGTGTCCACCGGACAAGTCAGATTGCGGATCGTGGTAACCAGCCACTTTGAGCAGTTGGGATGTCACGTGATTACATAGTGATCACATGATCTCACCATCAACACAACTGTTATGAATGGGTTTCATTCAGAACAAGTGTGATTAGCATTGTGATGCTGTGGTTGGCCCACAGCTATCATATTGTACAGTGGGCTAATCACAGCTGCCCTGTACCAAGTGATCACAATACTAAGCACAGCTGATATGAATGAAACTCATTCAAAACAGTTCAAAGCATTGCTGTTACAGTGATTATTACCAAAACCAAAGTGTATAAAAAGAACAAAAAAAAAAACCTGATCATCCCACCAAGAGTAGTAGCGTCAATATGGCAAAAGTGAACTACTCTGATGACAGGCTGTTAAAAAAAATTAAGCTTTTAAAAATTGGATAAAGCCTTATTTAATTTTTTTTTTGTGTCACCAGTCAGTATCCCTGATTATCGCAACACCAGCCATATGACGACGCTGGTGACAGTATGTACAAAAACAAAACAAGAAAAAAAAACCCAAAAAACTTAATTTCTTAATTTTCCAAAAAAATTGCGACAAAAAAATTACAACTTCAAAAAACTTGTCATACCTTTTACTAAATACTTCAGATTGTCTACTTTCCAAAAAGGGGTCATATAGGGATGTATTTGTACTGTCCTTGCATTTTAGGGCCTCAAGAAAAGAGACCATCAGTATTGATCAATTTTCAAATATACATGCCAAAGTTTGCAGATGTTATAACTTTCAAAAACCAATTAATCAACACTTATAGGATTTTTGTTTAACCAAAGACATGTAGCAGAATACATTTTGGCCTAAATTTATGAAGAAATGTAATTTTTATTTATTTCAGGTACTTATATAGCGCCGTCAACATGCGCAGTGCTTTACAGTGCTTTACACACACACATATATATATATATATATATATATATATATATATATATATATATATATATATATATATTGTACATTCACATCAGTCCCTAACCCTCAAGGGGCGTACAATCTAAGGTCCCTAACTTACATTCATACATACACATACTAGGGCCAATTTAGACAGGATCCAATTCACCTACCAGCATGTCTTTGGAGTGTGGGAGGAAACCGGACTACCTGGAGGAAACCCACGCAGGCACAGGGAGAACATGCAAACTCCAGGCAGGTGGTGCTGTGGCTGGGATTCGAACCAACGACCCTAGTACTGCCAGGCGGAAGTGCTAACCATGTTTTTTTGTTTACATAATAAAAAATAAAAAAACCCAGTGGTGATCAAATACCTCCAAAAGAAAGCTCTATTTCTGTGAAAAAAATAAGTTTCATTTGTTTACAGTGTTGCATGACCGAGCAATTGCCAGTTAAAGTAGCGCAGTGCTGAATAGTAAAACTGGTCATGAAGAGGTAAAACCTTCTGGAGGGCAAGTGGTTACGATCCGCAACATTGAAGCAATTTACTTCACTTAGAACTACAATTTTACTCTCTGGGAAGATTTAGACGCGAGTCTAAATCTCCTTCGCCTCTGAAGCATGATCCACCTCTGCACCATGCTCCAGAGGCTACTGACAAGTGGTTAGGAAGCGATGCAATGCCTCCTCAATGCTCGTTTTACCCCATTTTTGCCAACAATCACACTGCAACCTCATTGATTTGAATGTGAAGCGTTTGGTGGGTCTGCTGTTTGTCAGTTGCTACATGTCGGTTCAACTTAGCCATGGTCACGAAGCGAAGCATTGTGACCATGGCATGTAAACATCCCCCTCTGCGGCTTAAGGGGGGAGGGCAGTTGAAAGGCGACAGAAACCCGTCTCAACCACACATTTTGCCACCCCACAACTGCAAGTCAAAATGTGGCCGATTTCAAATTACAAAGGGCGTTGTAAACAACAGATATGATTTCTGGTATTTGATAATAATACAATTTAAAAAAAAAAAAAAACACAACACCGTTCTGGTCACTTTGCTTGGCTTTTACTTTTTTTTCCAAAAGAACCAGTCTATACACTTAGTAAATCAATTCATAAATTACCTCTTAAACTTTACTTGGCCTTTTAAGTACTGGAACAATATAAGGTACTGCACCAAGATATGTCGACGGAAGTTGCTGTCACTCAATTGTAAATCCATTAACTAAAACAAGAATAAATAATGAAGAAAAACATTATTAAACACATTTCACTGAACCAGATTTGTTTTATAAGATCACAGTAATGCAAGGAATAGTTTTGGAAAGCTGCATAAAGCCCCGTACACACGCTGATCATATCAGACGAATGATCATCCATTTTTTTGCATGCTAGTCTCATATTGAAAATGAAGAGGTTACTAAAGTTAAAAAATTCTTGTATGACAGAATAAAAAATTGGAAGTGATGTAATGTATTTGTATTGTATTTCTGTACAGAAACTGTTCTGATTAAATGAAAATTGGTATTGTACGAGAAAAATTTGCGTGCTTGTCTCTTCGAATCATTTCGGACAAAAGCTGTCTACGAACGATCAGATTATCGTACGATCGCTTCGAAAGCATTTTTTTTCGTAAGATTTTCTGATCATGTGTACTACGCCTAAGGGCACGTTATTAGCAGTGTATCTTGAACAGAGTCAGAATTAAACTAAATGGGGGCGCATGCACGGCCGGGTCGGGGATGACAGCTCGTGAGTAAGAGCTCCGTCCCGCCGTCAGCCTAACCGCGGCTCACACTAGACACAGGGATACCGAAGCCTCTCCCCAGATACATAAGGTGTTACACAGGCTCCTGCCACCCTCCGGATCATGCCCCGGCGCCGCAGATCACCAGGGCAGCCAGGGAAGCTGACGAGCTTCTTCCCTACTCTCAGCCCTGCATCCAAGATGGCGCTGGCTCCTCAGCAGACAGTCTCCTCACACAAGCAGAGGGAGATACAGCTCAGACCACAGACCCCAGGCTCAAGGCACCACTATACCCAGGAGACCAGGGTGAGTCCTCTCCACCCGTCTCCTTCTACAAGCAGTCCTGCTAAGTCCAGATCCAGAATGGACATACAATCTGTTTCTGACCTGCAACCTTCCTATCCTCATACAATTACTGCTAATTCTACTCCATCTTTAATTGAAAACTTTCCTGCTTCTGATCATCCTATCACTTAAATCTCAAAGAAGAGTATGCTACTATCCCTGCGACAAACACTACATGACAACCTGACAGCAACTATATCGCAAATCTCATCCGAGGTACAGAATCAGGACCGACTCATCCGCCATATTGAGAACAAAACGGGGGAAATGTTCACGGCACACAATGACCTCATAGACGCACACACAGGCCACGGAGCTGACATAGAACAAATTAACCTAAAATTGGCTGACCTAGAAGACCGCTCCAGGCGCAACAATATTAAATTCCGCAGAATACTGGAATCTATCACTACAGGCGACATAGTCCCTTACATCCAGCAATACATGAAGCACCTCATCCCTTCTCTAACAGACATGGAGCTTGCCATAGATCGTGCACACACGATACCAAAACCATCGTTCCTACCGGCTGCAATACCTACAGATATCCTAGTGCGTGTGCACTTCTACCATGTGAAAGAAAAAAATCATGACGGCTGCTAGAAACCCTACCTCATTTCCGGCATCTCGGGTGAATATCAAAGTATTCGCAGATCTATCCAAAGCTACACTTCTCAACCGCAAGAAAGTTATTACCATAACTAAAGCGCTGCAGAACCATGGAATCGGCTACCAATGGTGTTTCCCCATGAAGCTCATCGTTAAGCATCAAGGAAGGCTCTACACGGTCAAAACCCTAGAAGCAGGCATAGAACTCCTGAAGACATGGAACATCCTACGAGTGGACTCCCACCAATCCACTTCAACCCGACCACAACAAATGGGTGCAGAATGGTCCTGAACCAATAATCCCTAACACCATTTACTACCCAACACACTGGCTATCACCTCAAAACCACTAAAGGCTGGCAGACGGAACATTTCTAAACTTCAAGTTTTTCATCATGACTCCTTTCTTGAGTCATGTATGTTTCTGTTCCCCCGTTTTACAGTAGCAACATCTGCTACACATGTTACTTGTATTTTCCACAAGTCCTTTTTAACCCCCTACCCACCTCATACCACCAGTCGCTCAAATCAACCCCTCCTTTCCCTCAAACACCTCTATTACAAGCAGAAATAACCTCCTCAAACCAGCGAACATATCAAGTTCACTACTTCTCTATGGAAGCCTTACAGTCCCGACAAAGAAATATCCATTTTTTTTCCACAACTTACGAATCATCTCTTCTACTCCATGCAACCCGTATACATCCAGCAATATGATTAGCATATCATCTTTGTCCGGGGCCTTAACTCTCCTTACAAGAGATCTCTACTGCAAAAAGAAGCTCGCTCTTTGCAAACGGATGTTCTATTCCTCCAAGAGTCCCACTTTGCCTCCACCAAAATTCCCAATTAAACTTACACCACTTCTCATCGATATATATGGCAACCAACTCCAAGAAAAAGAACGGCGTCATCACCGCTATAAGAGACTCCCTCCAATTCCAATATATCTCGGAATGAGCAGATTCACAAGGCCGCTACCATATTTTGATATGCAAGATCAACGAAATCCTATATACCCTGGTCAACATTTATGGTCCAAATACCAACCAACTCCAACAAACTAATCTTAATCATCTCTACCCAGAAACAAGGCAGGCTACTATTAGGAGGAGACTTCAACATAATAAACAACCCACTCCTGGACTCTTTTTCCAGTAAACGCTCCTTTAAAACATACTTTTCATCGCATTCTATACAACGACCTCTATGACATATGGCGATGCCAACACAGTACAGAAAAAGACTACACCTATTATTCTCTGGCACACCTCTCCTATTCCAGAATTGACTTTTTCATCAAAGACAAGTGGACCCTACAACATATCACCTCCTCCAAGATCGGCACCATAACATGGTCAGGCCACGCTCCAATTTCCATCACTCTAGACCACAATCAACATTCTATGATCCCTCGAATATGGAGATTGAACTCAACCATACTGAAGAATTCAGACCACAGAAAACATATACTGGACGCTCATAATATGTTTTTTGAAATGAATGAATCACCTGATATCTCTATACCTATACTATGGTCCACTTACAAGGCATACATGAGAGGTATTCTTATTCAACTAAAACGCCCATATCTCTAAACAAAGAAACCAACAAATAGACAAACTCCTCATGGCAATTAAAACAAAACAAGAATTACACAAAATATCCCCAAACCCCTCAACCTCTACTTCCCTCACCAGGGATAGAAACAAACTCAGATCCCTCCTACTTTATACATACAACCTCAACCTTCAAAAAACGAAAGCTAAATTTTTACTCCATGAGCAACAAAGCTAACGCCCTATTAACCAAAATGATTAAACAGCGACGCCTAAAAGCCAAAATATCCTCAGTTCATCACCCAACCACACATACCTTAACCACAAATCCACAAGAAATAGCTAATGCCTTTGCGACCTATTACGAACAACTATACAATCTTAAAAACGATCCTGACACTATCCAACCAACACTAACATCCATACAATTTCTTCACACAACCAAACTCCCCATCTCAACTTGACACTATATCTACTCCGATATCTATCACAGAAATAAAAAATATCATCAAAACACTCCCTCTTAACAAATCTCCAGGAAACGACGGTTATGCAAATGAATTTTACAAATATTTTGCCCCTAATCTAGCACCATACCTATCCAAAACTCTTTAACCATGCTGCCAGCACTGAAATATTTCCCCAAAGACATGCTACAATCAATAATAACAACAATCCCAAAACCTGGCAAAGACCCGCAATTCGTCCAAAATTATAGACCAATCTCCCTACTCAACACAGACATAAAACTTTATGCAAAAATTATAGCTCACAGATTACTCCCTTATCTTCCTAACTTAATACATCCAGACCAAGTAGGATTCATACCAGGCCGCCAAGCACCCGATGCCACCAGAAGACTTATATCTCTCCTCCACCGTTTAGAACACACCAAACAGCCCTCAATACTTTTATCCTTAGATGCAGAAAAAGCATTTGATCGAATACATTGGATATTTATGCGATTGACATTACAGAAATTTGGAATTACAGGATGGATGCTAACAGCCATCCTGTGACTATATTCCCTCCCCTCAGCCAGAATATTAACAGACGGAATATTATCAGACCCCTTCGATATCACCAATGGCACTAGACAAGGCTGCCCACTATCCCCCATCATATTTGCATTGCTCATTGAACCATTAGCCTCTAAACTCAGAGATGACCTGGCATTTACTGGCATCAAATACCTTAACACTGAACACAAAATTAGTCTATTTGCAGACGACATCATATTGATGATTATCAACCCAACCAAATCCCTTAAAACAATACGAACGCACCTTCAACAATACTCAACAGTTTCTTATTATAAACTCAATGAACCCAAATCTTCAATCTTAAATATCCACACACCACACCAAACCAAACCCAAATATTACTTGCTAAACAATTCCCCTTCTCCTGGGAAAAAAATAACATCCCCTATTTAGGAATCAAACTCACTGCAACAACGGACCAACTATTCTCCTCAAACCACAAAACACTACTCGACACTATACCCCAAGAAATTGCCACCCTACGCACCTCAGAACTTTCAAAATTAGGCCGAGTTGCGACCTTGAAAATGTACATCCTACCAAAAATCCTGTACATCTTTCGCACGCTCCCCATACCAGTTCCTAACACTTTCCTCTCCAAATTACAATCGATTCTCTCCAGATTTTTATGGCACTCTAAAAAACCTAGATGCACTACCAATCTCTTAATACGCCCATCTTCCAAAGGAGGCGCTGGCCTCCCACATCTAAAATCCTATTATAATGCTACTCTTCTGGACCAAATATATTTTTGGTGGAACCAAACCAGAGAAAAAATTTGGTCTACAATGGAAACCTTACCCTTCCATCCACTTAAACCCCAAAATTTACTCCTAATTCCACCAATGCCACAAACCAATTACCAATTAAAACATCCATGTATCCAAGCCGCCCTTTAAGCCTGGCACGATCTTCTGACCATGGAATACATAGATCCCAAACGAATTCTTACCCTAATTGACATATTACACTCCATTACACCCTCAATAGACCTATCTCAATGGGAAAAACAAAACATACACAAAATAACAGACCTCTATAAAACCACGCCCTACAGCCATTTCAAAATCTCCAATCTACGTTCAATTTGCCCTCCACGGAATACTTCACCTACTTAAGAATTGCCCACTGTATACGAACAAAGAGTGTACCTCATACCACAAAAATACCTAATACTGCCTACTTTCTTTACAAAACCACAATACCCTGGTAAAGGTATCTCTACTTTCTACAAATACATAACGAACCTGCAATTTGCTCTAAAATCTACCTCTTTATCCAACTGGGAAAAAATTCAGAAACAATTACATCACACGCATGGAGCACAGCATTTAATACCACTTACAAATCATCCCACTGCAGCTCGCACTGGGAATCATATTTAAAAATCCTTCACCAATGGTACTTAACCCTGGTCAAACTTGCCATGTATTACCCAAAACACTCCGCCTCTTGCTGGCGGCAATGCGGAGACATAGGCTCAACACTACACATATTATGGTCATGCAAAATAAATTAAATCCTTTTGCAAAAGTGTCTTCCAACTACTCTCTGAAATAACCCGAACAGTGATCACCCCAAACCCTTCACTCGCACTTTTACACATTGGGATTGAAAAATTCCCCTATACCTCTCACACCATCATTGTCCACATACTTTTCGCAGCAAAAATCACTCTAACCAGATTATGGAACACCACAACTGCCCCTTCTCTCAAATCACTAATTACAGATCTTAATTTCCAATGCGAAATGGAAAAAAAGATCGGCCCTCAACAACTCCACCCAATACAAATTCAATTCCCAATGGACTAGCTGGTTACAACATCCCAATTGCTCAGTACAAGCCTGATTTCGTACAAACAATTGAACTACCCATCAATTTTAGACTGGTATTCCTCTCTCCACCCCATTACAATTTCCTCCTCCTCTCCCTATCCTCTTCCTGTCCCCCCCGTTTAACACCCCTCTACCATTTCCTACACCTCACCAAAGTTCAGTATATATCCATATCTACCTCTGATCCTATTGCCTTATTCCTAAGTTGTCCCCAGCCTAATGGTGGGGTACACCCGTTCCAATACTGTATTGTATGACTGCAATTTTTATTGAACTGAACTTCATTATTATTACATTACTTTGTTATTGAAAAACTTCAATAAAAACATATTGAAATAGAATTAAAACTGAATGCCAGCTGTTTGATCCAATCACCTAAGAGCCTTTCAGTGAGCACACAGCTTATAAAATTTATATTACCTTTTCACTTGTCAGGAACTTAGCGAAGTATACATGTTCACCTCCAGATTTCAGCTCCTCAATTTTTTTTCGTGATGCCTGAGTATCATCCAGCTTGTAACTCTTAAATACTGCAATAACTTCCTCGGAATACTAGACAGGGGGGAGAGAGATTCTTATATAAGCAAAGATAATGAAATACTGTATGTCATTTTGCATTAAAAAAAAAAAAAAGCATACAACACAGCAGCCTTTGGTCATTTAATGGAAAATGCCGATAGTATATGGAATAAAAATTACCATAAAGTCAACATTACTTTAAACTGTATAGGCGAGAAAATATGATATTTTGTACATTTTTGTTTTTGAAAAAATAAAAATCCAAAACAAACCCTCTTTTAGACTGAATTGAAAGAAAAAATTCAAAAAAATGTTTTTCATCATATTTTTTTTTAATTTAAAAAAATTTACAACCCAAAAATTGACATTTAGCACGTTAACACGGGATGCCTCTATAGCGCTGCATTTGTAGAAATTGTATGAACTTTAAGCAGAACAGCCATGCAGCAGCTTCTATTTTTTGGACTGTTCCTCTCTGTAATTACAAAACTGTGTGAACAAAAAAAATTAGAGGGGTTGTGTCCCTCCTCTGACTCATCCAGCTGTGCTTGGATTCTACATAGACCCGAACAGAATGGGATTAAATTTAACTTTACAAAATGTAATGCACCATTTGCACAGGCGTTTAGCCATGGTGCAAATCCCAGGGACAGGAATCTACAAATTAGAAGTGGCCGCTGTGCCCATACACTGTAGTGACAGACTTCCAGTGGCTGCAGCTATTCAAGCCTGTTTTCACAACCAGCAACCACTTGTGCAGTTTATGTACAGTGAAGGAAATAAGTATTTGATCAACTGCTGATTTTAAATGTTTGCCCACTCACAAAGAAATAATCAGTCTAAAAATCGAATGGTAGGTGTATTGTAACACTGAGAGACAGAATAGCAACAATAAATTCAAAAGAAATTCATGTCCAACAAATGATGCACTGATTTGCATGTTCATGAGGGAAATAAGTATTTGATCCCCTATCATTCAGCAGGATTTCTGGCTACCAGGTGTCTTTCATACAGGTAACAAGCTGAGATTAGAAGCAGTCTCTTAAAAGGGAGTGCTGCTAATCTCATTTTGTTACCTGTACAAAAGACACCTGTCCACAGGAGCAATCAAGCAATCAGATTTTAAACTCTCCAACATGGCAAAGACCAAAGAGCTGTCCAAGGATGTCAGGGACAAGATTGTAGACCTACACAAGGCTGGACTGGGCTACAAAAATATTGCCAAGCAGCTTGGTTATAAGATGACAACAGTTGGTGCAATCATTCGCAAATGAAAGAAACACGAAACAACTGTCAGTCTCCCTAGGTCTGGTGCACCATGCAAGATCTCACCTCGTGGAGTGTCAATGATCATGAGAACAGTGAGGAATCATCCCGGAACTACACGTGAGGATCTTGTCAATGATCTCCACGCAGCTGGGACCACAGTCACCAAGAAAACAATTGGTAACACACTACGCCGACAAGGATTGAAATCCTGCAGTGCCTGCAAGGTCCCTCTGCTCAAGAAAGCACATGTCCAGACCCATCTGAAATTTGCCACTGAACATCTGAATGATGCAGAGGAGGACTGGTTGAAAGTGTTGTGGTCAGATGAGACCAAAATCTAGCTGTTTGGCATCAACTCGCCGTGTTTGGAGGAGGAGGAATGCTGCCTATGACCCCAAGAACACCATCCCAACTGTCAAACATGGTGGTGGAAACATTTAGCTTTGGGTGTGTTTTTTCTGCTAAGGGGACAGGACAACTGCACCACATCAAAGGGACGATGGAGGGGGCAATGTACCATCAAATCTTGGGTGAGAACCTTCTTCACTCAGCCAGGGCATTGACAATGGGTCGTGGATGGGTGTTCCAGCATGACAATAACCCAAAACACACGGCCAAGGCAACAAAAGAGTGGTTCAAGAAGAAGCACATTAAGGTCCTGGAGTGGCCTAGCCAGTCTCCAGACCTTAATCCGATTGAAAATCTGTGGAGGGAGCTGAAAGTTCGAGTTGCCAAAAGTCAGCCACCAAACCTTAATGACTTGGAGAGGATCTGCCAAGAGGAGTGGGCCAAAATCCCTTCTGAGATGTGTGCAAACCTGGTGGCCAACTACGGGAAACATCTGACCTGTGTGATTGCCAACAAGGGATTTGCCACCAAGTACTAAGTCATGTTTTTTTTTTTTGTCAAATACCTATTTCCCTCATGAACATGCAAATCAGTGCATCATTTGTTAGACATGCATGTCTTTTGAATTTTTGGTTGCTATTCTGTCTCTCAGTGTTACAATACACCTACCATTCGATTTTTAGACTGATCATTTCTTTGTGAGTGGGCAAATATTCAAAATCAGCAGGGGACCAAATACTTATTTCCTTCACTGTAGGTACAGACAAACTCACATAGGTGATCGCTGGTTTTGCAAACAGCCATGTATAGCTGCAGCCGCTGACAGCCTGCCATTACATCGTATGGACTTGCATGCAGCTGTCAATCCAAGCCGCAGGAATTCCTTCCACTGGGATTAGCACTGTGGCTTAAAGCCCAAATTTCGCAGCTTAAGTAAAGAACTACAGAAGTTTTGTAATCAGCATACTGTAGAACCCCGTCTGCTGGCTGAACATTGAAAAAATTAAATATGAATTTTCATAATTTGACATTTAGCTGCCTGAAAAGTAATAAAAATCAAATAAAAAAAGCTTAGTTTATAAAATATTGAAGCCATGTGCAAACACTCTATATATCACCTATAAGAGAAGTATACCTTAAGAAATGTCTTCCAGAAGCTCTTGTCATAGCACTGTACTGGATTCCTGAAAAAGTCCTGCAGCGACCAAAACTTTCTATATAGGTTGTAGTCTATGGGAATTGACCTATAAAAAATGAAAGTATGTTATATAGAACACTGCATGCTCATTCCTATAAAATCAAACTGATTGATTTCCCAAGAAAATATCCAATCAGAACACTTCTCTGTGGAATAAAAAGCCCCACCGTCCTTCATATTCACTGGACGACTAAAGCCTGCATTCACTCCTGAGCAGGGCATAATTTCTGGTGACTTTAAAGACATTTTTCAGAAGTCATCCTCCAGGATGGTCACATGAGAGAGAATTTTCACCTCCCACAGGAAACACAAGCACAAACAGGTTTAAAAGGCTGCATACGTCAGCACAGCATCCGCAGTTTTTTTTTTTTTTTTATAGGGTCCCGGAATACCTCCCCCCCTCCCTGTGGAGGACACACTAGGGGGTCTGTTGCAGGGGTATGGGGTGGAAAGGACACAGAGGGGAGCTGTGGAGGGTTCTCCAAGGTTTCTTTCTGTTTTCAAGCTATAGTTATCTACTGAGGCAATGGCCTCATCCTGTACTGCAGGTGGGGATGTTTGGAAGGCATGGAGAGGACTAACCTGCGTGCCAGCCGTTAGGTCCGGTCTATGGTGCGCTGTCCCACCGCATCTCCTTTGCCGCCTCACATGGACAGACCGGAAGGTCCTGGAGTCTGTCCTCCGCAGTAAATCGCTGGCTTCCTCCTCCAGTGGTCGGCAAACCAAGATGGGCAACGAAGGCAGAAATTACATCAAGTGCTGGTCATGGCCATCTTGGTTTGGGGCAATGTTCGGCATCCGCCTGAGGCCTTACACCCTGTCCTTTCTCCTTTTTTTGACAGCCTACACCACCAGAAGTCTCTGACCCCACGGACAAACCAAAGAAAAAGAAATGTTGCCGCACCCGTGGGATAAAAATTCCCTCGGATAGCAATAAGCTCCTCTGTCACAAATGACTGGTCTGGTGTCAGCCCCTCGCATATTCAACAAGACAATGGCAGAAGTACCGCAGGAATTGAGAGTGAAAGGAGTTTGGATAATCCCATACTTAGGTTTCCTCATATTTGGCAGAACAAAAGAAGAAGAAGTCCTGGACAATTTAGGGATTACAAGATAATTTCTGGAATCCTTGGGATGGAAACAAATTGCAAAAAAGCAAATCTATGCCCTTTGCACAGCTCTTCAGAGAATTTTTTTTTACCAGCAAAGGTGGTCACCAAATTGCTAAAGACCATAGGTCAGGTGGCAGAGGTGCAGTTAGTCTCAAAACGAATGGTAATGTTGCTTCTGGGTCTAACATCAGCCTCTATCCCCACGATACAATGGGCACAGCTCCATATGAGACCTCTCCAGGCCCATCTACTGAATCACTGGGATGGGCATATAGAGTCAGTAGAAGAACCCATTGGCATTCCACTGACTGTCAAGGACTCTCTATACGATGGTGGACACTGAAAGTCAAGCTGTTTGAAAGAAGGATATGGATGACTCCAGTCCCACATAACCACAGACGCAAGTGCATCAGGGTGGAGTGCTCACCTGAAACAATAAAAAAAGCAGAAAGGTTTTTTTTTTTACTCTGAAGGAAAGAACCAGAGACTTCAGGGATAGACTTGTTGGGGTTTCCATGGAAATTCAATCTGGGCTATGCCTTTCCACCCATCCCACTGATTCTAAGGGTACTCAGAACGATACACATGGAGAAAGCAATGCGATGCTCATAGACCCCCTTTGGCCAAAAAGAGCCTGGTTTTCTGCATGGGAGAACATGGCACAAGAGCCTCCCTGGATTCTTCCAGCAAGGGAGGACTTATTGACACAGTTGGGCATTTTCCATCCACATCCGAACACTCTGAAATTGGCTGCTTGGATCCTGAATGGTAAATTTTACTGAACAAGTGTTTCTCTACTTGGGTAGTTGATACCCTGCTAAACAGTAAAAAACTGGTAACAAGGAAAATTTACACTAACATTTGGAAGAAATACTTTATTTGGCGTTGATAACTACAGATAACAAAAATCCCAGACTGCCGGCTACTGTACTAGATTTTTTATGGGAAGAAAGAGGCAGGACTTTGTGAGCACCCTCAAAGTCCATTCTGCAGCACTGGCTGTTTTTAACTTTCCATTGAGCGAAAATGCTATGGATAAAAAGTTCTTTAAGGCTATTTCAAGAAATCGCCCGTGCAAATCAGTCAAGGTGGCACCTTGGGACCTGTCGGTAGTTGAAGTCTTGACCAGAGATCACTTTGAGCCTTTGGAAAAGATATAATTGAAACAATGCTCAAAGTAGCATTCTTAGTGGCCATCATTTCGGCTAGGAGAGTCAGCGAGTTGCAGGCCTTATCCATTAAGGAGCCTTTTCTAATAGTTTTTCCAGACAGGCTCATACTCAAAAAAATGGATCCCCTATTTTTACCTGAGGTGGCATCAGCATTCCATACAACTCAAGAAGCGGTGCTGCCATCCTTCTGTCAAAATCCAACCAATCAAGGAGTGAGAGAGAGATTTTGCCTCACTAGATGTCAGAAGTTGTGTCCAATATATGGAAGCCACCAATTCTTTTAGAACATCCCCAGCTCTCTTTGTTGTATTTGGAGAGGTACACAAAAGAAATCCTGCCTCAAAAGAATTCCATAGCCAGATGGATTAAAATGACTATTGCTATGGCCTACACCTCACAAAATATTACTTGTCCTTCAGCCATTAAGGCATACTCCACTGGAGCAGTCGCTACTTTATGGGCTGAGAGGGCTGAGGCTTCCATCGAGCAGATCTGCAAAGCAGCCACTTGGACAAGAGATTCTGCGTTTGTGAGGCACTACAGGAACAATCTGTTCTCCGCCCAAGATCTAGCCTTCGGGTGCAAAGTTCTTCAAGCGGTAGTCCCATCTTAGATATGCATTGTTGGGGTCTCATGTGACCATCCTGGAGGATGATTTGGGAAAGTCTGAGTTATTACCCAATAACACCCTTTCCAGGAATCTTCCAGGCAGGTGGATTCATGCCCTGACTTGTGCTTGTGATAAATTTTGTGATATCTGTTTTGCTGCTGTCTGATCAATCTTTGTATAACTGAGGGGGCAGCCTTTTAAACCTGTCTGTGCTCATGTTTCCTGTAGGAGGTGGAGCCTATCTCTCATATGACCATCCTGGAGAATTCCTGGAAGGGGAGTTATCAGGTAGCAACAGACTTTTTCAGGTGAATTACAGACATTTATTAAACATTTACCAAACTTCACGAGTTTGTTTCTTAGGCTGGACAAGGGGAGAAAAGAAGTTCTATAAGAGAAGGGGAATTCTTCAGGTGCCAAAGCTCATGTACTTTGAACGTAAAGCAATTGAGTATAAAAGTATCAAAAGGGATGATTAGAAAGAATAGGATTCTGCGTGCTGAGTGTAGTCAGACATTGAGAAACAAGCAGAAACACAGTGTAAATTGGGACTAAATGAAAGAACTCAAATACAACAATTCTCAGAGTACAACTGTATTTGACACCTACATGGTTGTAATAGATTGTATCAACTCCAATGCAGATCAAATGGATCAGCCATACTTACGAACTGTTAGGGGCTTCGTCATCCCCCATTTCACCCTCCTCAATTTCCATTCCATCATCCCTATCCTCCACTTGCTGTTAAAGAAAAGAATTCTTTTTTTAATACACAAAAACTTTTTCTGCTTAAGTTAGTTAGAATAACACTGTGTTAACTATATTAACGGCACTCACTTTCTGTCCCAGAGTGCTCTCACTCTCATTGACATTGAACACGGTGACATTCTCCAGGTTAAACTGGCTCTGCAAATTCAAACCTTACAAACAAATAAAAAAAGTAATTACTATGTTAACTGTCAGTCTTATTTATCAAAGTATTTTCACAATGATACTGGCTGAGAGCAGAAGTTTTACAGGTTTGAGTTTGATAATACAGGGTTTTTAGATTGGAAATTGGGACAGGAAAATGTTGTCAATGACTGATACATTGCAGACATAACTAGAATTTTATCCAGATGGAGCACAGTGAATTAGGGTCCTATTCAGTACAAATTATGTAACTGACATTTTCCATGAATCTAAAAACCCTGTATTACAAATTTGTGTATTCATATTTTTTTTTTTTTTTTTTTAGACATTTAAATATGATAAGAGGCTTGTTTTAAACAGGAACAAAGCCTTTTCTTACCAGTAGAGAAAAAGAGTGGGAAAAAACCTGCAAGATGATGAGTATATTCATGTCAACACTTCAAACAATAATGCTATTCTTCATATTCAAAGAATATGGATACAGTGATTATTGTACATTTGCTTTAGGGTTCTTTCACATGGGCATTCCAATCAGGTCCAATCAGTGTTTCAGGCTGAAAACTGACAGATGTGCGTCCGTTTACTTCTGCTTAGCTACAAGTCCATCCAGGTTGGGGAAAAAAAAATGCAGAATGTTTAGGTTTTTTCCACTTTCTAAACAAAAACGTGATGGTTCATAGGTAGCCTGATGTACATGGCTCAAAGTCTATTTTCATTCAGTCACCCATAGATCCAACACAGGTTTGCATGGGTCTTGTTAATAAAAAAAAAACCAAAAAAACTGAACAGCCACAGATGTCACAAAAGTGACATGTCCTGTTCTCCACTGACTCAACGAGGGTTCCTCTGATTCAGCAGGGGATCTTTTCACAGACACAACCATGTGAAAGGACCATTAACTTGTTATGTTCTGTAAGCATAGGTCCCTATGCCCAAGACATCCTATCTACAATGCCAGCAGCCATGTACCACCTCTCAGCCAATTACAAACAAAAACATTTATAAAGCCAACTTTGATTATTAAATACCTGGCACTTCCTCAGGGTCTGAAACTCACCAGATTTTTCTGAAAGTGGAAAGAGGCGGGCAAGAAATAGCTGAATCCTCCCACAAAACACTGTGTTCTGTGACTTGGAGAGTCTCCTCAAAAGGTCTGAAAAAAAAAAACCCAAAAAACAAAAACATTGCAACAAGAGTACAAAGCTGTCATAACTTCTCCTTCACAACCTCAAGTCACACAAACCACAGGCTTTTCAAAACAGTTACAGTAATCCAATGATATTTGAAAGTTACAGTCACCCGGCTGAAAATAACTGTGGGAATCCACAGTGTTGTTTTAACCTATCAGAGAATTAACAAAATACATTTTTGTCCATAAAATGCTAATCAAGCATGAACATCAGGATAAACAGAAACATGGAAGGAAAAAAAATAACTAGTTAAATTTGAGGATCTTACCATTACACATCCGTAGCAAGTAGTTTTTGCCAGCTGAATAAAATGTAATCTGAAATCAGAGGAGAAAGTTCATGCAGATCTGGTATTCAAGCATATAATACCAAATATATGTGGCAATGATAAAGATACACAAATAAAAAAAAATAAAACTAATGCAAAATAATAGTTCTTATCTAGAAAATGGATTATCATTTATCATGAGTCTTGAGCTGTATTTAGCGACAACCTCACTGAATCACGTGTGCAGTACTGCATTTATAGCCAAGACTACAATACGTCTACTGCAGCAAAACAGATTTACTAACATGGATGGTCAAATAAGATATCATTAAATTAAAACTAAAAGGCAAAACATTTTTTGCAGTTTTGGCAAGAGTGTAGATGGATTAGAACACCTGTCAATATTTACTGCTGTTTGATCCTGTTAGAGATTCACCCTCTCTATTTGTCATGTTTACCATTATCATTGAAAGTGAAGGAATTCCCTTCATTTGCAGGGATTGGATCTCACTTTCTGTTTGGCTATGGGACAAGAAGTGAAATCTCTGCAATGGGACACAAATGGCGGGAAAAAAAAAACCTGACAGGGGTTATAACCCTCCCTTACTCTATCCAAAAAAAAAAAAGTTTTGCCTTTTGGTTTTACTTTAAGGATTCTAATACGGAAGAATTCATCACTATTGTGATTATCAGCTTTTTTTTTTTTTTATTCCTAGACAGGGTCAAGGTGCACCTTAAAGCACTTTTACTTACGGATTTCCATGTTCCAACATTTTTCTCAACAAACGTGAAGATTCTATCGCAGTGGTCCAGAGGAAGACAGTCAAGGACATCACCCAGGAGTACAAAAGGTGTGGTAGCTGTACAAATACCTAAATGAAACCAATAAGCTTAGTTTATGTTATAGTTAAAAGTCAAAACTTTTCATGTGCCAACCAACATTAATGGCAACCATTAGTGTCCCCTCCCCCCCAAAAAAAGACCCAATTATCAATATACGAAATACACACACAAAAAAAATTAAAAACCCCAGCTGGTAAATAAGCCTGTATTTAAAATAAAGTCACCTTACACCAGCATCTACCTGCAAGCAATTATCTGCTTCTTATGTTTTGGAAATAGTCTTCAGTGCAGCACAGGGTCCCCTTGAACCAGGCAACACTGCAGAGACCTTGATTTAGCTCCAACTTCAAAGTCTGGGATAACCACCCAATATTCTTCCACTATGAAGCCTCTCTAATGGCCAGTGAAGCAACACACTGGATAGCGGAAGAGCACCGCGGATTAAACACTTTTCAGTGTGAAGCACATCAAGGAAGCAGTGACCCTTTGTACTTATATTCTTATGTGAATAAAACTTCCACTCCAATGCTGCATCACCCTGGGGAGTACTTCTTTGTCCATTAGATAGCTGCACAGAAGGAGCCATGCCTCTGCTATGAATATGGAACCAAATTAAAGTGTAGCTTAAGGCAAAACCTTTTTTTTTTTTTTTTTTTTAAAAGTTTGGACAGAGTGGAGATGGCTTAGAATATTTGTTATTTGCATTGCTACCTCTGCTCGTTATGGAAATTCACCCTCTCCATTTGCCCTGTTTACATCACTAAAAGTTAAAGAAAAACCCAAAATTTGGGATTTTCTTTAACTTTTAATGATGTAGTCCCTAAAAAAAGCAGTAAATGACAAATTTTTCAATGGGGACACTTGGGGAGGGGGCCCATAAGATTCCCTTGATTTCCTCTTACTTCCTGTTTTGGCTATGGGACAGGAAGTGAAAGTAAATCTTCCCAATGGGAGACAGATGGCGTGCGCGCACACACACGCACACACACTTCAAAATTAGAAAATGCCTATAAAGTAGAACTACAGGCAAACCTTTTTCATATTCGATGGAGTAAGAGAGGGTTATAACTCCTGTCAGTTTGTTTTTTTTTTGTTTTTTTTTTGCCATCTTCTTACCTGTGGGGAGATTTACCTTCACTTACGGTCCCATAGCCAAAACAGGAAGTGAGAGAAAATCGCTAACAATGAAAGGGAATTCTTTGGGGGCCCCTAGGTCCCCAGGACTAGTGTCCCCATTGGAAGATTTCCCTTCTATTATTTCTCTGGGGACAACCCAAACACTCGGGGTTTCTTTTACTTTCACTTTCGTTAATGATGTAAATAGGACAAATAGAGAGGGTGAATTTCCCTAACAGGTGACACAAAGAGCAATAAAAACTGACTGTTCTATCTAATCCCTCTCCACTCTAAAACTAAAAAAAGCCTTGCTCTTAGTTATACTTTAGGTCTTTTGTTTGTAGAGAGCAGAATGGGCCAGGATTACAAAGGGAAACAATTTGGAAACAATAAAGAGGTATGTCCAGGCACAACAAAGCACCTGTCATTTAAAACAGATACAGTATTAGAGAGCTGACTTCATTTTGATCATTTGCTTGCTTTATCTCCCTAACTCCCAGCATCGTAAACAACCATCTCGAAATGCTATATTCCTTTAACTGCATTTGAGTAACACACACACTTACAGTATTCAATTTCATTTTTTTTCTTTTTATGTTACACTGCTTTGTTTTTCTCCACATATACTATATAAGCAGACAGAAAAAGATGCAAACATACAATGGCAGGTCTGGGACAAACGCTAGTTTCAGGCTTTGCTTGCTTGCATACAGGAAGTTCACTTTTCCCTGTTTAGCTTAGTAAAATAATACAATAAAAATCTAGCAGTGAAACTTGCTCAAATGACAGCATCAGGAAGGAAATCCTGGGTAGAGATTTAGGTCAACAGAGTCCACTCAAATCTCAGGCAGTTCTGACTGCACCACCTTCTTCATCCTAAAACACAAAGAAAATTGTCCGAAATATTTTGCGGAACCACTGATCGAATGATTTTCTCTTCGTTGATGAGCAGGATGTTTTAACCGGTAACGATATTGTGAACTAAAAAATCCTGTTGAACAGTGAAAAATTTTGTCGTTTCGCATACGAAACGACCGATTTTCTATGCGGTGGTATGACGGTCGTACGAAAAAAAAATCTATCAAGCGCTATCACACATGAGCAGAAACAGAAGATGACCGGATGTTTATGTCCAAGGAATCTTCATAAAACACGAACGAAAAATCCAAATGTTAAAAGTAGATTGGCCTAATGAGATAATGAAACCAGAATTCTGCAGATTATATTTTTATGTATATAGGTAATGTAATAAACTATATTATACTCATTGCTGTTAATTGTTGTGTATATTGCTTGTTTTGGCCAGAAGGGCGTGGGCTACAAGGTCACACGCACACCGCATCACTTCCACTTGTACGGAAGACAAAAACACTACGTATTGCCCGACAAACGATTTTTTTAGATTGGTTAACGTGGGCCACGATTTTGACTAATGAATGCCTCTCGGTCGTCGGATGACCGATCGGTCGATTTTCTAATTGTGTATTCCCACCTTAACGCTGGCTATACATTATACAAATTTTCTTGAGATGTTTGGTTTAGATTTACCAAAAACCATATAATTAGGTCAAGCCTAACAACACTTTCAATTGTATCCAATAAGTCAGGCTCTTGCACTACATGGTTGAAGGTAAATCTAAAGGAAATTGGGCAGAAAATTGTATAGTGTATGGCCAGCCTAAGGATCCTTGAGTTCAAATGTTTGGACAAATGAGTGCAAACTTGATTTGTTTCTTGCCTGTATTGTTTCAGTCTGATCACACGGATGCACTACAGTAGCATACCAAACATGAACCCTATAAAAGAATAAAAGTATCTGCCCAGAAAGTCAGTAGTGCTCATAATATAATGCAGAATGGTTCAGAACTTTCTGCCTAGCAATAAGAATACTAGAAATTCTGTGCCAGCAACCGCAACAGGAGGGCTACAGCATTATCCCAAAGGCCAAAGTCCTGGGTGTCACCCTGGACTCCCACCTCTCCTTCCTACCCCACATCCAACTGCTATCTAAATCTTGCAGGCTCCACCTCCACAACATCTCCAAGATACGCACATCCCTCACCCCAGACACCACCAAACAACTCGTACACTCCCTCATTATCTCACGCCTGGACTATTGCAATTCCCTTCTCACTGGCCTACCCAAACGAACGCTACCCCCCCCCCACTCCAGTCGATCCTGAACTCAGCGGCTAGACTCATCCACCTCACCAACCGCTGCACATCCGCCTCCCCCCTCTGCCAATCCCTTCACTGGCCCCCGGTTGCCCAACGCATCAAATTCAAACTGCTAACTCTCACCTACAAAGCCATTCACAACGCGCCCCAAACTACATAACTGACCTGATACCCAAATACTACCCTACCCGTGCCCTCCGCACCTCACAGGACCTCCTACTCTCTAGCTCCCTGGTCTCCTCCTCCCACGCCCGATTGCAGGACTTCTCTAGGACTTCCCCCATCCTCTGGAACTCCCTACCCTAATCCATCAGACTGTCACCTACCCTCCTCACCTTCAGGCGCACCCTGAAAACCCTCCTCTTCAGGGAAGCCTACCCCAACCTCACCTAACACCTGACCTCACCTAACAACTAACCTCCTCCACTCCTCCCACCACTCCATCCCCCACAGCCATTTCCTCCTGTACCACGTTCCTCTCCCTCCTAGATTGTAAGCTCGAAAGAGCAGGGCCCTCAAACCCCTCGTGTATTGTATTGTTACTGTCTTGTCTCATGTTCTGTCCCCCTTGCTACTGTACAGCGCTGAGCAAACCCTTTGGTGCTATATAAATACTGTATAATAATATTAATAATAATAAAATTATCACTAGAGACTAGCTGCACAGTACTCTGCTGTAGACATGCTGCGAGAATATGAGGGCTTCCTATTACCAAGCAGAACAAAGGGGATACATTTTTTAAATTCAGAATGAAAGTTCATACCTTCTGTAACTCCATTGATGGCAAGTGAAATAATTGCAAGACAGTTGTCACAAGATGCTTTGTTAATCTACAATAATAATAAATCACTGTATGAAATGCCTTGAACGAGTCAAGAGAATTAACTTGTTGAAGGAGTGAAACAGTACACACAAAGCAATAATACGATATTAAAAATAACAGGTATCAGCCGGGTGCTAGGGGTAAGAGGGGAAAATTTAAGGTTAACTATATAAATGTGTCTGAATGAGGAAAAAACACAGAAGGATAAATAACAAAAAAAAAAAAAAAAAAAAAAAAAGCATTGCTGCAATGATGAGCACATATTCTGTGATACAAAATCCACCTGTTTTACAGTTTCCACCAGAACAGGTATAGAGAGGAAATATTTCAACAATGTGGACACCTGTTTCAGTGTCCTCTCACTTTCTCTTTTGTCCATGGATCATAAATCTCGAACAGAATTTCCTATCACAGGATTTTGTTATGACACATGAAACAGCTCCCCCAGGTATATCTTTTGTAGCATTGATCCTGAACCCTGCCTGAGCATTTAAAGTGACAGCCTCGTATGGACACACACTCACCGGCCACTTTATTAGGTACACCTTCCTAGTACAGGGATGGACCCCCTTTTGCCTTCAGAACTGCCCTAATTCTTCATGGCATAGATTCAACAATGTTTTGGAAACATTCCTCAGAGATTTTGGTCCATATTGGCAAGATAGCTTTATGCAGTTGCTGCAGATTAGTTGGCTGCACATCCATGATGCGAATCTCCCGTTCTGCCATATCCCAAAGGTGCTCTATTGGATTAGGATCTGGTGACTGTGGAGGCCATTGGAGTACAGTGAACTCATTGTCATGTTCAAGAAACCAGTTTGAGATGATTTGAGCTTTGTGACATGGTGCATTATCCTTCTGGAAGTAGCCATCAGAAGATGCGGCCCAAAGTGTGCCAAGAAAATATCCACACACACCATTACTCCACCACCACCACCAGCCTGGACTGTTGATACAAGGTAGGATGGATCCATACTTTTATGTTGTTTACTTCAAATTCTGACCCTACCATCTGAATGTCGCAGCTGAAATCGAGACGCATCAGACCTTGCAACGTTTTTTCAATCTTCTATTGTCCAATTTTAGTGAGCCTGTGCAAATTGTTTCTTGTTCTTAGCTGACAGGAGTGGCACCTGGTGTGGTCTTCTACTGCTGTAGGCCATCTGCTTCAAGGTTCAATGTGTTGTGCATTCAGAGATGGTATTCTTGGTTGTATTGAATAGTTATTTGAGTTACTGTTGCCTTTCTATCATCTTGAACCTCTGACATTATGTCTGCTCATTCTCCTCTGACATTAACAAGGAATTTTCTTCCACACAACTGCCGCTCACTAAATATTTTCTTTTTTTCGGACCATTCTCTGTAAACTCTAGAGAGAGTTGTGCGTGAAAATCCCAGTAGATCTACTGTTTTAGAAATACCCAGACCAGCCCATCTGGCACCATCAACCATGCCCCGTTCAAAATCACCTATATCCCCTTTATTTCCCATTCTGATGCCAAGTTTGAACTTCAGCAAGTTGTCTGCACCACGTCTAGATGCCTACATACACTGAGTTATTGCCATGTGATTGGCTGATTAGCAATTTGTTTTATCAAGCAATTGAACAGGGGTACCTAATAAAGAGGCCAGTGAGTATATATCATAAAGAATACAAAGAGTAGATAATTTCAAGAAAGGCATAAATCCAATGAACAGCGGCATATGCAAACTTTCAAATAGTCCACTTAGGATATGGAACAATTTATTTTTGAGTGTTCTAACTAACGTTTTTTTCCCAAATACTTATTACAGATACTGCAGTGTCCACAAGCAACTTTTCCTTTGGTTATTTTTGGATTTTCCCACAATTACTGACAGTAGGAGTGAATTCACTATCCTTCAAATGAATCCACAATATTTGTTCTTTTCCCCACAATCTTTGCTAGACTGCAAAAGCAATCCCCCCCCCCCCCCCCAAGTAACAACCATATTTTGTGATCATACTTACCCTGATCGCTTTCTTTTTCTCTTCTTGAACCAAAAATGTACAACCTGTCACTTTCGATCTTTTGATTTTACTTCCCTTTAAGACTTGATATCCCATTGCTTTAAACCCATTTTTCAAGTCCCCGCTTTCTCTTTTAAAACTCCAAGCAATTCCTATGAATAGGCAAAAACTGCCCAGTGGAATCCCTTTGATAGGAGGCCATGGATGATGGCTGGTGGTATGGAGCAGCATATTACCAGCTGTTGGTCTTCTCTTTTTAGATCTTCAGATCCAAAAATTCAACCTCATTTTGGCTATATTTATACGTTGGATAGATACGGCTGTCATTTGATTCAGTTTTGGTATAAACAAAACCAAATCTCCAGGGTGCACAGTTTGGCATTACCTTAAAAAATTAGTGAAGGTCTGAATGAGCTGCCTTAATATAATGTACAAACATAAATGCACTGCAGCGGACAAATGTCTGAATGGGCATATTTCAAGGTGAACCTTTCCATTTTATGACTCCTATCTAATGTATATAAAGAAAATTAAATAATTCTTAGATGACAATACCACCAAATGAAATCCTTATTTGTCCCTAAATAACAGGCCAATAGCTGAAATATGGAAATGGCTCTTAAGCTTAACTGGTTAATGTTAATAGTTCACTTACAATTTCCTCCTCCAAAACAACTCGGAAAACTTGGTCAAGCGTCAGCTTTTTCTCATTTTCACTGTAAAACATGGCATAAAAAAAAAAAAAAAAGGTCAGATGTATGAAATGCACGGAAACAAAACTAACTGTCACGTCTTTAGAGTCTGCATTACCTTCCAGCCGCCTGGCTAAATGCAGCCAACAAATGCTTGGTGTTCTTACTAGCCACAGCTTCTCTGGTGACATTCTGAGGAATCAAGCAGAAATAAAGGCAATGTTATTACATAAATACGTGTCAGCAGTAACTTTAGCACATAATTTAGCGTAGCGCACAAAAAAGAGGCAGGTATATGGAAAATTACAACATAGAACAAATATGGCCAGCATCTACTCCATGCAAGCAGAGCTTTCATTTCATTCCTAATCTGCACTTTAAAAGTAACAAATGTTCTTTAGCCATGGTTAACACTAAAGCGGTGCGGGAAACGCAGCAAATCCTGTGCGTTTTTCGCACCGCATTGCAACTGCACGGCATTCATGCGATCTGGTACGGGTGTCAATGTTAAATTAACGACACCCCAAAACAGAATTCACACAGCGTGGGTGAGAACACCCATGCAATGTGAATCAGGTGCGGGAAAAAAAAAAAAAGGGTCCCGCACCTTTTTGGTGTGGATACGATGCAATTTGAACCAAACAAAATGTATGGCTCAAATCGCACCTCACAGACATTGCATGTGATTTGCACAGGAATGTGGTGTGGTCCATGTGCCAATCACACGCGATGTGCCACACCGCATTAGTGTGAACCTTTGCTAAACCCAATTTTCATGAATCTGGTTCATTTAACCTCAGTCACCAAATTGGCTGTAAGAACTGTGCAGCCCTGAATTACCTATCCTCAGCCACCTCAATCACTTATAAAAGAAAGCCCTCCATAGGGAGAAAATATGTAAACAAATTGCAGCTGCTACAGCAGCTAAAGGGTTAAAATAATGTAAAGAAAAACTTCTTTGCTGAGCTGGTTTAACTGGGCAGCGATGAGCTCAGGCATGTTCGCACACGAGTCAGAACCGCCTGAGCTAAGCTGATGGGAAACTTACATTTGACAGCCAATCATAGGTGGCTGAGCCATTCCCCACCTGGCAGCCACACATATACATGCAGCTGCAGGGCGGGGAAAGCCTCTGCCACCTATCATTTTTTTGTTTGTTTATAATAGCTTATAATTGGACATTGGCTCTAATAGCTTCCCACCGGGTACAAAGATGTACAATTTGTTTTGTTTATAAAGCAGCCACAGCCTAAGTATAAAAGTCTGTCTGCTGTTAGCACCTGCAGAGTGGGACCCTTGCTCTGTGTGAGGAAGCAGTGGTCTCTCTGCAGGTCTGACCTGCCCCTTATTGAGCCAGACGAATAGTTCTGCAATCAGCTAAGCTCATGCTCCCCAATAATTCAGCCCCACATCTAATCACTGTCCAAAGGTTACTGCCTCAACCTCTGCAAAAAATACACCCCTTCCTAACCAATGACACCCCAAGGCCTCTAATTCACTCCCTGGTCATCTCTCGTCTCGACTTATGTAAAGGTAATCCAATGGTGAGTGAGTTGCATAAGGCTATCCCGCCCTTCAGTCCATCATGACTGCTGCTGCCAGACTCATCCACCTTAGCAACTGTTAAGTGTCTGCTACTCCTCTCTGCCAATTCCTCCATTGGCTTCCATTCACCCAACAAATAAATTTCAAATATTACAACTTACAAAGCCATCCATAACTCTGTCCCCAGCTACATCACTAATATAGTCTCAAGATACCAAACTAATTGTTCTCTTAGTTCCTCCCAAGATCTCCTGTTCTCTAGCTCCCTTGTCACCTCCTCCCATGTGCTCCTCCAGGACTTCTCCTGAGCCTCTCCCATCCTATGGAACTCCCTACCCCAATCTGTCCTACTATCTCCTACTCTGTCCACTTTTCTTAGTGACAAGTCTTATTGTTTGGAAGTGGTTGACCACCTAAAATCCTATTTTGCAGTTAATAGGGCCGAAGATACTATGCCTGCTATTAAATGGGCGGCCCACAAGGCCTCTGTTAGAGGCTTCTTTATCCAGTTGTCCTCTAGAATTAAGCTCAATCGTGATGAGTTGATTTCTGCCAAATCTAAAGAATATGAAGCCTTAGTCACCCAGCACAAACTTTCCCCTGATCCTGACCTATTGCATAGAGTGGAGCAGGTTCGTCTGGAAGTTAATCTGTCTTACGACAAAAGCGGAAAAGCAATTGCGTTGGATGAACCATAAATTCTTCACTTGGCGAGGTAGACCTGGTTACCTTTTAGCGCACAAACTCACCCCTAAACATACTCACTTAGCGCTCCCTAAACTTAGGCTCTCAGGGGGTCATATTTCACAGGATCCTTGGAAGATGCTTCAGGAATTCCACGATTTATATGCTAAATTATATGGTCCACCTAGACCACTTGAGCCCTCTGTGATCAAACATTTTTTGGGGACGCTATCTCTTCCATCTCTCATTGATGCCCACAGAGAGATAATGGAACAACCTGTCACTAGTGAGGAGCTCCATAAGGTCATTAAGATGCTGTCATCACATAAATCGCCTAGCCCTGATGGCCTCCCGAATATATGTTATAAAGCTTTTTCTGGAGCAACTCCTACCCCATTTGACTCTTTAATCTAATCCCTAAGAGAGGGTGGCGTGGTTCCTCTTGATGAGAACAGGGCATTTATTAGTATCATCCCCAAACCTAACAAAGATTCCACGGATGTACTTAACTACAGTATTTTTCGCCGTATAAGACGCACCTGACCATAAGACGCACCTAGGTTTTAGAGGCAGAAAACAGGAAAAAAAAAATTCTGAACTAATGTCCTGCAGACACAGTACAGGAGATGACCAGAGACTGCGGACAGCAGACTGCAGACAGGGATGACACTGCGGACAGGGGATGACCAGAGACTGCGGACAGCACAGGGCGGATGACCAGAGACTGCGGACAGCACAGGGATGACCAGACAGACTGCGGACAGCACAGGGATGACCAGAGACTGCGGACAGCACAGGATGACCAGAGACTGCGGACAGTACAGATGACTGCTGACCTTTGGGGAGATGGGGAGCGGGTACCTGAATTTGACAGGTACCCGCTCTTACTTCCGCAGAGTTTTTTTTGATCTTACCTGCTCCTTGATCCAGCCGCGCGCTGTCTTCCCGGCTTCTGTAATGGCGCTCGGCATGACAGCCGGGTGCCCAGTGCGCATGAGCGAGAAGCACTTGCGCTTTGTGATTGGTCCGGCGGCTTCTGAGATCTGTCATGTGTCCCAGGTACCGCCTTACCATTCACAAAAAGCACCGCTTCTTGCGCATGCGCACTTGGCACCCGGCTGTCATGCCCAGTGCCCACACTACAGAAGCCGGTAAGACAGCACGCCGCTGGATAGAGGAACAGGTAAGGTCCCGCTGCAGAGCTGAGCGGCCGGCCCGGTATTCTGACACAGGCCGCGGTGGAAATACCGGACCGGCCGCTCCATAAGACTCACTGACACTTCCCCCCCAGTTTTGGGGGAAGAAAAAGTGCGTCTTATACGGCGAAAAATACGGTAATGCCCAATCTTGTTAATTGTGACTTGAAAATCCTGACAAAACTTCTGGCCCTACGTCTTAATTCCTTTTTGGCACATTCATAAGGATCAGTCTGGATTCATAACTGGACGTCAAACAGTGGATCAGATAGGCTGGTCTATTGCCTTGATCTCAGTGGTCCGTTCTAAATGGGATGCTCCTCTTTCTAGGAAATTTTTGCTTCTATTATTTGATCTCCATAAGGCTTTTGATAGCTTGACTTGGGAATATCTGTTTATGACTCTGCAAGCCTTTGGGTTCGGTTCCACATTTCTTGCTCTTCTGCACACGTTATACGACACCCCTTTGGCTCAAGTTTCCATTAAAGGCTTTAGATCCTTAATGTTCTGCATTCGACGTGCCACTAGACAGGGCTGTCCACTCTCCATTACTTTTCGCACTGGCGATTGAACCTTTAGCTATGGCAATTTGTTCCCACCGCAATATCCATGGTGTCTGTTGTGGGCACCGGGAACAAAAATGTGCTCTATTTGCTAACAATATTATGCATATCACTGCCCCTCAGATTACCATACCTAATCTACTGTCTCTTTTACGCCAGTTCTCTCACCTTTCTGGGCTATCCTTAAATTCTCAAAAAAAAAACGTCAGCTCTTAATGTTTCTTTACCCCTTTCAGTGGAACAAGCTTTCTGGAATACTTATAATTTTCAATGGGCACATGACTCCTTACCGTATCTAGGGATGCATTTAACTGCTTCTATCAATACTGTCTATAGAGCATTTTGAACAACTTGAGACAATTTAGACCGCTGGACAGACTACTACTTATCTTGGTTCGGCAGAATCACCTCAATTAAAATGACATTTCTACCCTGATTGCTATATTATTTAAGGAACCTTACCGATAGAAATTCCGAGAGGCGAGTTACAACATTTACAAGCTGAAGTTCTCTGCTTTATTTGGGGCAATAGAAGACCTCAGATGAACAAAATGACGTTATATGCCACCAAGCCGAGAGGTGGGATTGGCCTCCATAACCTGCATGCCTATTTCCAAGCTGCGCAAATTGCTCAATTGGCCTACACCCCTTTGGATTTCTATTGAAGCTCTCTCCTGTCACCCTATTGCCATTTGCTCCCTATTATGGCTTCCTTACCGAGTACGCCCTTCTATATTATGTCCTACTTTATCATATTCTTTGGTTGTCTGGGATAGAGTGCGTCACCTTAAATCTCTGTCTTCCCCGCGTACACCCTTGGCTCCTGTCTTTTGCAACCTGGAATTTGTACCTGGCTTGGTACCTGTATCATTTCAATGGTGGATCAATAAAGGGCTGTTAAGGATAGGAGACTACCTCAATAGGGATTGTACCTGTTCTCTGCAGCACTTTAGAGAAACACTAAATATGCCCCCTAATGAGATCTTTAGATACAATTAGATTGTCTCTTTTTTCCGCTCTAAGCTCAAATTGCCACTTAAGCTTCCTACTCGAATCACAAAAATGCACCCGTTTCACCGCATTGTTTTCGGCATTACAGCCAGATGGGGACTATGTAGCAAATCTGGTGGCAGTGTCCGATGGCAACTAGATTTTAGATCCGCATGTTTAATTGAATCAATTCAGGGACGGGTGTGAACATTCG